GAGTCCCCTTGCAGTCAGGCTAACCGTGATAGGTTTTCCTCATCAAAAAATCCATTAAAATGTCCTCCACGAAGGAAAATTTATCCAAATACTCCCAACTCAGTTCCCTTGTCTTCTGGATTGGGTTCAAAATTTCAAGGCTAAGAAGTTGAACATTAAAAGTCGTAAACTCAAAATTGGATCGGTTGTTCAACGACAATTTTAAAAAATTTAAAAAAGAAAAAGAGTAAACTATGAAGTTTCAAATAATGAAAGAATTTTTTTAATATCAAAATTCGAAAAAATTATGGCAGGAATACTTGTTTTTAGTACTGCGAAAGTTATCCCGCTCCTGCTATGCATCTGCATGCACTTTGATATTTTGAAAACATTTTCTCTACACTTGAAACTTCATAAAACTAGGTTTAACTGAATTCACTTTTCTCTAATTTTTAAATATACCAATGGAGATAAAACAAAATTCGCCATGCAAAGTTTCTCGCGCGGTATAGTATCCTCCAAAACTTTATACCTCGGTAAGGTAATAAGTTATTTTTTAACAGTATTTTCTAATATAATTTTTTTGCGTCACACTATATGGAATTTTAACTAACAAACTCGCTTCTTTTATAGAATTTATCTCCCCTTTTAGCCTTAATGTCCGCAAGTAAGTCTATTCTGACTATATCGATAATGTCTTTCCATATCACGAACCACTTTTGAAGATAGAAACGCCAACTCTGTAGTTTTCACCTGGTAACGTTGTAAATGGTTTAATCTGTTAGTACATCGTAACTTAACTAAACCTGAATATCACTTATATAGCAATAACTGGAGACGTGCAATACTAACAATGCTGTACAACATTTTTCTATACTTCGTACCATTTTTGAGATCGCTAACTCAGCAGTTTTCCTCTAGGTAGAGCGATGAACGATTTAATCTGTTCATATATAGCCACTTTATTGTATCTAGAAGTTATTTTAATGACTACCGCAGCAGATGTTCGAAAATTAAAAGTATAGATATGGACTTAGCGGGGAACCTGCATAAGCTTAATGAAAATCTTTACCATTCATAAATATATACTTGAATCTACACGAGCGCATGTACGTAAACCTTTCATGACTATTAATGGATCTGTAAGAGCATTTTGTGCGTTAATATTAAAAAGAACAAATTTTAAATGTTCCCAGAATTAAGTCTCTTTTCCGCTTTATTCTAGAAGTTACTTAACAATACTTAAGTCAGAAATCAGTAACAATAAGGCAATAGTATAGTTTAGTAACTATAAGGCAAATGAAACCTTATTTATGAATCTATTAAATTAAGTTCTTTAAATAATGAGAATGGAAAACAAATGCTTTGTTTGAATTGTTCTGGTTAAAGATTGTTTGTCTTTTAAACATATTATTGGAGAAAATGAAATGTGCAAAAAAAAAAGCATACAAAGAGCAGGAACTAATTATTAAAATATGCTTTTAAAAGAGATCAACATTTATAAAGGGAAAAAGTATTACCAAGACGTGAAAATAGATATTTACAATTGTATATTGTTCAATTATATAGAAATCCTTATTTGAAGGAAAGAAATTATCTTATCAAAGAAAAGAGTGAAAATAAAAACTCTATAACATGTTTATATTTAAAATAAGCTTAATGAATTTTACATGTTAACCATTTCACAAAGATGGGGCACCCGTGTCCCTTTTATAAGTCTTTTTCTTCTGACGCTCTTTTTTTTATTACAAAGAAAAAACAGTCTAATAGTTTTAAAAAATACTGTGATTACCGGAATTATATTTGTAATAAAGTATAAAATTTAAAAAAAATTAGTTTGATAAAAAAATTGTTTCATTCATATTCAAAGATTTATTAATAATTGATTTTGAAATTTTAAAAAACTTCAATGATAAACAACCGTTTCTTTTAGATCTAAGTAACTGCAAATTTGAAAAATTATTGATCGGAAGTGAGCCGTGTTCGGAAGATTTTACTATTAAAGCAGAAAAAGACACCAGTGTTTCATGCAGTATTTCATAACCATAAATTATTAAATGCTGAATGCAATATTTTCCACTAATTTTGACCTAAATTAATACAAAATAATGAAAAAAAAAGTATGAAAAATATATTTAATAAAAACTTTGCTTCAAAGGGTTAAAAGCCAATTTGACTCACAAACAGCTTTCCAAGTGCTATTTCAGTATTTAATCTAGATAATCTAGCATTTCATCTAGCTAATTTAGTATTTAATCTAGCTAATTTCAAAAGACAGTGCTTATAAAGACTTTTTGCCAGCTTTTTCTTCCTGGTGGTTGGTTCTGCATTTAAACTAATTTTATTGCTCATAATTGAATTACATAATTAGATTTCAATACCTTAATTTAATTTTGTTAAGAGTAAGACTATTTTAAGAACAAAAATATATATTTCAAATCTGTTTCAAAATGTTTAAAATAATATAGTAAGAGATTTATTAAGGATTTGAAAAAAAAATCATGATACTTGTTTATGGATAATAACAAATTGGTATACTTCCAAGTTTTAAAAAACTATTTTGCAGAAGAGAAATAGAAGCAACCATTTAAAAAAAAAAATGTGTTGATAACAAGGGCGCCGGCAGGGGGGTGCAAGGAGGTGCACTTGCACCCCCCTGGCTTCTTTTTAAACAATTAAAGAGGTACAGAAAAACAATTTTGTTATAAACTTTTTTAATTAAAAATATTTTTATTCAAAAGCAAGCAATTAAGTAGTTATTGATACATAACAATTAAAAAATTGTTTAATCAAACAAGAATTGTAATCGTCTTGTTTGATGTCCAAATCTCTTTATAACTTTTTCAATGAATTTTGAGTCATCTTTGATTCTTTTCTTATGCACACTGTGCATGCCCAAACTACTTCATCTCTCATGAGACATTGTAGATCGATTCCATGTTTTGATACGTCGCATTGTACTAAAAGTGCGTTCAATAGTGCACGTAGTAGCTGGAAGAGTTAGGCCAATTTTGATTACCTCCGCTACAGCTGAATGAAACGGTGTGTAACTAAATCGATGTATTAGAGCAGTGATTCTCAACCACAGTGCCGCCAAATTCTTAAGATGTTCCGCCAAATATTAGAAACGATACAATAAATATTATAATGCTTTTTTTTAATTATGAGAAAAGCTTAAATTAAAAAAAAAGTGTATATATATATACTTTCAAACGGAAATAAAAGCTCATCATTAAAGTAAGCTATGAAATTAATAAACGAATTAACAAAGGATAACTAAAAAAACAAATATATAAAAAACAAATTAACNAGTAGAAATTGCCAATAAGTTATAGAAAAACTTTTTTTTATCTATTTTTTATCAGAAATGTAATAAATTTAAAATAACCGAACGCATTTAATTTTATTTAACAAAAAAAAAATAATATTAAATAAATAATTTTCAACTGAATCTTTTCCCCAACTTTTAAGCTATGAAGTCACAGTAAATAAAAAAAATTCGATATAAAGAAAATTTTAAATCATTTTTCAAAAGAGTTCTATATTTATTTTTGCTCCGATTATAAGTTAAATGAAATAACCGAAAATACAAATGTAATATCAATATAATAAAAATATAATGTTGATGTATTTAAAATATCACTGTAAAATATTCAACGTTGAAATTGATTGTTCTGAGACTGAGAAATTGATTGTTCTCTCACTGAGCCATATTTTCAAATTTCATTTAATGAAATATAAATAACATTATATTTTCTATAAGTTATTTAGTTTAACAAAGGTGTAGAACACAAACTGACTTCTCGCAACTGTAAAACTTCATCAACACAATAAATACCAATGTTAAGCGTGCACAAACATGTTAGTATACGAAACTACTGTTTGTAGTTATTTGTGTTTCAAAGTTAGTAGCTGTGCCATCAATACAGTTTCGCCAGGCAAAATTTGCAAGTACAAGAAATTCGCACTTTTTTTAAAATATCTTGATAACAATGAAGAAATGCATTTTGAAAAAAAAACTAACAGATGAAAGCATATGTGATAACAAAACAAAATGTAATAACAGAATATTTTTAATTTATTTTTTTTGGGGGGGGAGGGGGGTTAGTTTGTTAGAGGGTTGCACCCCCTTTCATATTATTCTGCCGGCGCACTTGGTTGATAATGTACCTATCGCGATGAAAAACAATGGATTTTTTTAATGATCTCTTTGACAAACTATAGTACACCAAAAAATTGACCCCAAGATAAAAATAACAGATAAATAAGCATTCATAAAAAAAGAGACAAAATATTTTGTTTATTAAAATAAGACATACCTACAAAGAATATAATACAAAATAACTGAACAATAATTTTATTTTTCTTTAAAAAAAAAAAAAGGTCTAGGAAATATATACATTTACAAAATAAGCTTTCTAAATCACATTTTAATGCTGCCACTGACAATTAAAAAAGCATCCTAAATTAAAATATCATGTAAATGTATGTACAAAAATATTTTTGAAAAAGATTTTAACACAAAGATGTTTTTTTTTAATAAAAAATATAAATAAAATAGAATAACTTATAAAACTGACAGGAAAAACATCAACCTGCAAATTAACAATAAATTTCAGTTTATTGTGTTTAAAAAAATAATACATAAATCAAGGCAGTTTGTTTTGGAAATAAATACAAAAAACATTTAGTCTCTTAATCAGACTAGATAAATACTTATTGTATAAACTAAATAACTCAAGTAGGGTCTTTATTCTAAACTAAATAAATTCATGCTGCGAATATAGAAATGTATCACTTTGCAATATAAAAATGATATACAGAGTAATTAGCTATGCATATAAAAATGTATAACTCAATAACTTGAATAAAACAAAAACCAGAAATAAAAGGAAGAAAAAGTGCTTCTAGAAATAAAACATAGATTGCTCTTTCGTTAAGACTCTTTGTATTTCATTAAGACAATATTTGTAATATTCAAATTATTATATATTTAACTATAAAAAAATACTAGATTCTGATCAAAACAAAATTTTGACCTCCTCTAATTACAACCACTTTTGGGAGGCACAGAATTTTTTCCATAGACTAAGTGCTGAAGAAAATCTTTAGGAGAGACCATCTCCCAGCGTTTGGGAAAACCTCTGAGTTGAAAGTTAATTGTTAATTTAGAAAAAAAAGTTTCTTTGGAAAAAACTAAGCATCTCAAACAAACAAGCTACTCGTCATTTTTAAAGATAAATAAAAGTAAAGGAAAACTTAAACAAAAAAACATAATTGTTCATTTTCAAAATAGCTCCATCATTCATAATTGATGAATTTGTTTTTACTCATATCAGTAGGAATTATTTTTATTGTTACTAAATTTTATTTCTCGATCTGGTTTTCATGACGCCAACACAAAAGGCATTTCCACAGCAAGGAAATGACACGGACAAAAATTAAAATATTTTTCAAAAAATCGTGTGCCATCGATATCATTTTGAAGTCCATGAAGGTAACCCATTGGAACAGCCAACCTCTATTAATGACCATTTTAATGTGGAACAGAGAGTGGTCGATCCTAAGAGGTTTCAGTTTAATTTTACGTACCAAGAAAATTTAAATATCTAATAATTCTGCTATGACATAAGTAAACATAATACAAAATTTAAAATTCCGAATTTTTTCTTTTATGTATATCATCGAATAACAGGCAAAGGCATTTAATAAAAAACAGCACTCTCAAAAATATTTAAAAAAATAATAATAATTTATTATTAATTTATGCAATAGCATATAGACAGTTAAATACAATATAAGAACTCAAAATTTTCTACAAATTCTAACAAAGATGTATTTCTCTAGATGTTGAAAATGTTTGAAAAACTAGATCAATTTTGCAGTGTTATTTTAGTAGTAGCTTTATGAGGTTAAAAAGTTCCAAAAAGTGAGGAAAAATGAGATTTTATAAGTCTTCAATCAGAATTGAACTCTGGGGATGAGCTTCTAGACATACCAGGCGCTGTATAGAATGCAGCTCCTTCTTCATCAACAGTATCTACATCAATATGTACATCATCGACTATTTGTTCATTACCGTAACTAAAAAAATACTATTATATTAATTAAGAATAAAAACATATTAAATTGCTATCAATAGTACTTAATATCAACTACTATAGAAATAGTACTAAAACCTTTTTAACCTATAGTACATTTTTTTAGGATTTTCTTACAAAATTTAGTATTTTTTTAGGTATTTATTTTTCTTATTTTTAACATTTCGAAGTCTGAACTTTTTAGGAATATTTTTAAGATTTCCATAGCAATTTCTGTGATCAAAAAAAAATTAAACTGAAAGTGTTATAAATTTTTGAACAACAATTTTATTAATCAAAAGGAAAATAAATAAAGGACATAAATTAAATATATAAATTATTATGGGTAGTAAAAAGCAATATTATTTAACAATGAATTTGAAAAACTTACAGTAAAGTACACAAAAATATTCAATAGCAAAACAGTATTTTTTAAACTTTTGTAACTTAAATTAAAAATGCTAGTATACTTGTTGTAAACTTGACACTTATTTAAGTCATTAATCTAAAATTATCAGGAGTGACTTCTTAACTTGAGATACTTTGAATCAACATTATTTGAGATATTTTGAATCAACATCATTTGAGAATTGTTAGCATATAAGGATATATTTTGAAATATGTCAATAATTGTTTGTTTTTTTTTAAATATGAAAAAGAAAAAAACAGTAAACTATCATTATATAATTCACAAGGCTAACTTATCACATTGAACCGAATCAAAAAATTATTTCAAATGTTTGGCAAACAAAGAAGCGTGGAACACACAAATTTTTATTCATTCAATGAGCGTCAGGCTATAAAAAGTTAGTTAAATTTAGTAATTTTATTTTAAAGTAAATTACCAAATTTAAGCAACCATTTTATACAAATTTTTTGGTGTACAAATCGACCCTCATTTGTAATTTTAAAATTGTGAATTTTTGTTGCATTCTGCGTTTAAGTTGACCTGCATTTGCTTAAAAAAAAATTTACAAAAAATACATTTCGACGATTCTAAATGATAATCAAAGTTTTCCTCAATAGTTTTAACTACAAAAAAACCTAATTTGCAGATAAAAAAGAATAAAAACTCCTCAGAATGCATGTCAATCTTTGCCTAAATTATTTTGGAATTAAATTGTAATCACTTTAAATAAGCAAGTTCAAATTAAAAATTTCATTATTCCCAAATAAAAAGTTATCTTACNTTTTTTTTTTTTTTTTTTTTTTTTTTTTTTTTTTTTTTTTTTTTGTTAAAAGTCAGAAATCAAAAGAGAAATATTTGTGTTGCTCTCCTTTAACGTATAAGCCGATGCTCCATTTATTCAATTTACAAGTAAAACAACTAAATATTAACAACACATAACAAGATGTAATATTATTTTCTAACAATTTTTTCACTCTTTCTTTTTTCACTCTAGGTGTTGATCAATCAAGAAATCTTTACATTTTTCGTAAAAAAATTTGTCAAAATTTAATAGAATTTTTTACTTCATTCATTTTAAACAATCCTATTTCTTAAGAACTTACCTAGCTAAAAGTTCCTTCCGGATATCATTTCGCATTTTATCAGTGTGCTGAGAACATTTAAGAGTATTCATGCACATTCTCTTTGTATGCTTAGATTTTACTCCACAATACTAAAAAAATTAAAACAATAATTTTTAAAATCATTTAATACTTAAAAAGAGTATTAAAAAAAGTACTTTGTTTAAAATAAAAAAGTACCTATCTGGAAAAAATACCATGGAAAAGTTTGATGTATAGGTGCTACTTTACAAAAATAGGCCCTATCTTACAAATTTTCTTATTTTACGTCATAACTGACATTGAACAGCTGGGTTACTTCTGAGTTTACGACTGTCAACATTCAACTCTGTAGCTTTGCGATTTTGTACTAAACCCAGAAAATGAAAAAACTTTTGGATCAAGCATCGGGACAAACTAGCTTTCGTGATGATTTTTTTTATGGCAATAACGTGCATTTAGGAAAACCTCCCCTGTTTAACCCAATGGCAGCGGGATTTTAACCCGTGCCCTGTTTACCACTGACGACATTTTATGTCGCTACTGTGCACTTCAGTGTAAATTTTTTGTTGAGTGTAGAAAGGGTGACAATTAAAGCCATTCAGGTATCTTGAATTCAGGAAATTAACAACTATATCTTCTAGCACTGCCAATAACTACAGCTTGCTTCTGAAAGTGGTGTTGTAACTCAAAATATAATAAAATATAAAAAGCAAGTTTGGTGAGGAGATTGTCTTCAAGTTTAAGTCAATTATGACAAAAATTAACATTTGTTAAAACAAAGAATTGATTAAAAATTTAATTCAAAGAATTTAATAATATGTCTTTTTTATAAAGAATATAGTTCAACTTAGTTTTAGAAAACCAGTAAATAGTGTAAAAGTGTTGGAAATAATGTTTTCACCTAATACATATTAAATCAATAATTCTAGAACAATTACTTTGCTCAAATAATATGTTATTTGTAATAAAATCTATGTTATAAAATAGCAGAAACTTCAAACGTAATCCTTTTCTGAAGTTTACTCTTCTATTTTAAAGTGATGGCAGCATTAAAAATTACATTATAATGTGTATTATAATGTGTCTCTTACGCCAACAATTTTTAATTTCTTGAAACCTGGCATCCTTCTGGTGAACAAAAAACAAAATATTTATTCAGAACCAAAACCTCAAATTAACAACAAAATATGCATTACTAATTTTTAAAATTTCAACAGTTAATAGTAAATCTTAAGTAAAAAAAGAGATTGGTTAAAAAAATTTAGTTAAATGAATTGATTAAATATAAATTTTATAAAGTAAAATATACTGTAAAATAGTTATACTCCGTTTCTGTGCATATCTTTTCAAATAAAACAAAAACATTAGGCGTATAAAATATTATCCATGAACTAAAGAAATACATCCAGAGTGATCATAAATACTTCTAGAGGATAAATTTTTAGGAAAAAATCTTGGGACTTAATCTACCTCATCTTGCTAATCTTGGATTGTGCATGTCATATTTAAATTAACTCAGTTTCCTTGACTTATTTTAATTAAATTATCTAACATTTTCATGATTTTTTCAGATTGATAAAATTCCCTGACTTTTCCATATTTTCCTTGTCTGTGGCCTACCGGCAACATCAAACTCTTATTTTATTAAATTTTCCACGTTTTAAATTTTTTTTATAACATCTCGTATTTTCCAGTCTTAAGTTAACAAAAATTTTAATTATTTATAAATAAAATTTTACGCAGACAATCACTTAGTGAGTCTGACCAAAAAAATAGCTAAAATATAATTTTAGCATTGAATTTTACAAAAAAACAAGTATTAGAATGAGTTTGGATGATGATATAAATTGCAAGGATTTCGTAAATCATCTTAAACAAGATGAGATAAAAATCAAAATAATATTTAGTAGTTTGGTATTGCATATTTTTTTACACTAGATATTTAACAGGAGGTCTTCTAGTTCAATTATCATCAAATTAAGATAATTTTGATAAACTTTAACTTCAGAATCAGTTCTTAAGTTTCTATTGTTAGCTTTATGTCAGCAACAAATTTAAATTTAAAAATAGAAGCTCAACAATTTAATATAATGAACATAATATTTTTAATACACAATTGTTAATATCTAATAATTTATAGTGAGTATACATTTTACATTTACAAAGTTTAAAATAAAAAAAAGCTAGATTTACCTGAGTGAAGAATAACTTGTAATTTTCTAAAATTTTAAAGAAAAACAATAATTAGTGAATTCATTTAAGACTACTGTTCATATTTTAAACATATATACTTTCTAAAATATTTAAATCAAATATGTTTCATAGATTATTTGTCAACATAACTTGACCAATATTATATGAGTTCTTATGGGAATTTTTAGATAGCCAGAAAAAAAAAATTTCTGCCAGAGAAAAGTAATTGAGCCATGAAATAGAAAATCTCAAACATTAGAGAGGCACTAGAAGAGTTGTTTTGATCATGACTGAAAAAAAATCTGACAGAAGGGGTGCACAACCTATGTCCTGCGGGCCACATACGGCCCGCCGACCGTTGACGTGCGGCCCCCGGGAACTTCTGAACGCAGTAAAAGCTTCTTTTAATTTGGTTTTAGTTTAAACATCATAAATTTTTTTTTATTAAAATATTTAATTCAAATTTATATTACTCCATAAAATATGCTTTTTTTGCACTTTCATTCTTTAAGCTTCCTTTTGGTTGGAATTTATATCACCCATCCCAATATTTATGTATATTTATGTACATATTGATAAATTATGAAAATAGAAAAAGTTTTTTAAAGAAATATGTCAAATTTTTCAGTTTTAAATAAATTCAAATAATTATAAGTATTAAATTTTCTGCAAATATGTTATTAAGCTTACTGATAAAAAATATTTGGTGCTTAGAACACTAATGCTTACATAAAAATAACTTGCCACTAACATGACTAAATATGTGTGCGGCCCTTCGTTAATCTTGCCTGCTGTGCAAGTGGCCTTTCACTCAAAAAATTTGTACACCCCTATGATAGAGAAGAAAAAAAAGTGAGACATAAAAGAGAATATCTCAAACATTAAAGGAATAATCTCAGAATAGCTGAAAAGAAAAATTCTAATAGAGAAAAGAAATTAAGATTTAAAAAAGAAAATTTCAAACATTATTAACACTCTCAGAGTGGTTTTGATCACGGTTAAAAAATATATTCTGATAGAGAAAAGAAAATGAGACATGAAAGAAAAAATCACAAATATCATAAATAAAATTGCTACTTTGGCTAAATTGCTATCTTCCAGAGCAAATTTGATCACAGTTGATTAAAATCATCCTCAATTTTCAAACAGCCAGGAAAATAATTCTGTTACAGTAAAAGAAAATGAGACATGAAAGAGGAGATCCCAAACTTTAAAGAGGCATTTTAAAAATGGTTTTGATTATGCTCGATTTATTTTTCAAAGGTTGACCTACTTCGAAGCTTTATTTCCGAATTTTTCCTTCCATTTTGCAAATTGTTACAAAAACTAAATATTGTAATAAAAATTAGAAAAATGCTGTTAAAAATTAGCTATGTTCCACCCCTATTGTGTAACTCCAATCCAAAAATCATTAAAATAAAAAGTATTTGCTGTATTACTACAGGTTAAAAGAAAAAGAAGTTGTTATAATAATAAAAGGATTTTTACCAGGTGACACTTGATCACTTCCACTAACAGAAGGTGAACCATGGGACAAGGAAGCTTCTATGATGGAGAGCATAGTTGGATCTTCTGAAAATTTTGAAAATATATAAAGCCCATCAAAGAAATCAAAACACCATTAGTCTTAGAAAAACTAAGAAAATTCTGAATTAATAATTACATAAATAGAGTGTCTGCCTCTAATAAAGTAACTGATATATAAAATGAGCCACTTTTTAAAATTAAAAACAGAACATTGCAATTTTAGGGATGATACAGCTGCGACAAATTGTGCAAAGATGTACTTTTTACTTTCCTGAGACATACTGCACCAGAACTGCAGAAATGTAAACAAAATCGAAACTAACCTCGAAAAACAAAACTAGCTTAATTTCTCCATGTTTTTAATTGATGATATGGTAAGTAATTTAAAAAGAAACTAAAAATGACTAAAATAATTTTTGAATTATTAAAAAAGTCTTAAAACATGCTCTTAAATAAATAAAAAAATAACACTTTAGTAAAGAAAGGAGAAAATTCTTATCTTCAATTCTTTAAAACTTAATTTAAAAGAATAGATTTATTTTTAAAATAATTATCAAGAATATAATGTTATAAATCATAATAAAGACACTAATTTAATAACAACTAAAATAAACAAAGCAATAGAAAAAAGAACATTTGTAAGACTGGCAACATTCAAAAGCTAATTCTTTAAAATAATAATTAGTATATAACTATTTCTAAAAAAAAACCGCTCTGCACTTACTGGTAACTTTCTTTCGGAATGCTCCTTTTGTTGTTTTCTTCTTTGGTTCTAAAATTAACATAAAGAATAAAATTCAAAGTAAAAATTTATAAATTATATTTCAAAAAGGAAATTTTAATAATTGCAAGAAATTTTAACTTCCTGACTACTGAATAAACATTCAATAATAATTAAATCCTATTAAGATTAAAACTTATTAAAATTTAAATCTTATTGAGATTATTTATTAAGATTCAGTCTTATTCTAAAATTATTTGAACCAGGATTACAACCAACTAATATGTAATATGTGTGTAACCAATAGTTAAACTAAAGTGCTAAATAATTTCTTTGGGAAAAAGGAATTTTTATGAAATGTTAATTATTTTTATAACAGCAACATTTCTTCATTTAATTTTTAATTTTACTTATGATTTTAAAAAATCACAAGTAAATTATTCTCAAACTATCATTTTCACTGATTATTATTTTTAAAATATCACATACAATAAATTTATTTTAATCACAGTTTTCACCAATTTTCAATTAAATTGGACATTAAAAAAAATACTCAATCGGAAGTGGGCTTTTTATTATTATTATTGTCGTGTAGTATATGAAATTATGACAACAAACAAAAAAAAATGATAAAAAAATCAGCAAAATTTTTTTTTATTGTCATCATGACACAGAGTGAGAAAAAATAAAATGTGTAATACAGTACAGAACCCGTTATCCGGAAATCAGAAAACCAAAAAACCAAAACGAAATTCGATAAATTTTCCCGCCATTTTTTTAAAAAAAAAATTTTTCCTCATAAGATTTTAGGATTTTTCTTTCTTTTTTGAAAGATGTTTACCTTGCCATCATTTTGGAAATAAACATTAGTGTATTACTCCATTGTTTTTTCTTCTTTTTAAGATTATTTCCAAAAAAAAAAATTTTTTTTTTTAGTTGGGTTTAACAATGAAAAACTGCTCTTTGTAGCGATTCAGAAAACCGGAAAAATCAGTTATCCGGAATAGCGATGGATGGATCGTTCCGGATAATCGGTTCCCTACTGTATTAAACATTAAAAAATAGCCATGAAACAAAGTGATGGTAAAAGGAATAAATTGTAATAATTGTATTAATTTCAGACCAAATATACATACATTCAAGTTAGATTCTGTCAAATTATGAAACTGAAAGTATGAAAATTTTCATTTTCTAAGTTAAATCTTGTTCTAATATAAGCCATTAGAAACTAGATAAAATGAGTGTCAGGTGTTACACACCTCATTCAAATTATAAGATAGTATAAGAATTCCTCCTAAATCTGAAGTCACACCAATTTCTTTTTATTTCTTTTTGTTTGGTGTACCATTTGCCATGATTTTTGGCAAACCCCTTCTTTACTTAAGATTGAATTTTTAAAAATGCATCAACTTCAGATATGTTTTTTGCAGCTGGTTAAGTGTTAGTCCTTTGAAAAATTTAAACTCCTAACTATAGCATGAAACGAAAAAAATATACATTTTATTTTTCATAAATTTATTAATTGAATTCAAATAATACAAAATTTAAACAAAGCAAAAAATAAATGCTTTTAGTGGGAGGACTAAATTTAAAATTTTAACAAAAAAAAGTTTCCAAAATTGCACTTATTTTAGTAAGGTTTAGTGACATCTTTTTTTATCAGCAATGCCCACTCTGTGTCTTGATCTTTTTTTATCATAATTATACGTTAATTAATTTTTAGGAAATCGTCAATCACTAACCCCTTTCCACCAGGCATGAGGATGGAAATGGAATTAAAAAGTATGGCATGATGTTCCAGACTATAAGTAAAAGTTTTTCAATAAAGCCAATTTCAATAAGTTTCTTTCATAATTTCATATCTATGTCTTGAGAGTTAATTTACATCAGGAAAAAGCTTCAATTTTGAATTTTAATCCAAAATTATAACCATGACTTACTTAAATGAAGTTCACTATTCCGGACGCCCAGTTACATCTCATAAATCCCAACTTTTTTCTTTTTCCTGCTAGCATGAGCTGCTAGGAATTCCTATTTAGGGTATTAGGCAATAAATCAACAAGTACAGTCCTGAATGTTGATTTAGTGATTACGCATAAAAAAAATTTCAAATTGAAATTCGAAATAAATACAAATACAAAATAAAATAAAAAATTCTAATTGAAATGCAAGTCAATGGCATGATAAATTAGCTGCGAAAAACTGTTCAAAAATAAGAGATTTTAATTAATCAGGACTTTATTTTGTAAACAACTGAAAGGCAATAACACTAAGTTCACACCACAATCATCACTTATTTGAAGACTCTGACTTCCTTAGTTTAATTTATGTTTCAGGACTTGATGAATTTTATAAAACTAAGGAATATCTCAAGAATTGTGATGTAAAGTAAAAATAAGTAAACTATTATCTCATAATATTTATGATATAAAGTAAACTATTATCTCATAACTAAAACTTTAAAAAAAAACTTGTTCACAATTCTTTGCTTACCCAATATGGAGGAATACATATAAGTTTGCTTGATTAATTTCAGAAAACATGTTATTTATTTAAACAGCTACATTAACAGAACTTAATATTTTCTAACTTTTTCTAACATAAAAAAACTTAAATTATTTTTTTCTTCTTGGTGGAACAATAAATACATTAATCATGATAAATTATTTCACTAATAAATAAAAAAAATTATCTATTAAACTGAAGAGCAAGTAGTTATCTCTAATTTAAACATAGTGCAGAATGATTGGTAATGTAATTTCAGTTCTAATTTTCTTTCTCTTTTGTGTAGAGTTTATAATTTATATTAACCTTACAAAAACTTTTAAAGGTCAAGTTTATATTCTCTGATATTTATACAAAAATGTTTTCTTGTGTATCTTCAGAGTATTATTAAAGAGTAAAATACAGTTATTATTTCAGAAGGCAGCCTAACTTTATATTTAAAAAAAAAACAATTATTAAATAAAACTAACTTTTTCTTGATGAATAACTGGAGTCACTTTCATTTTCATCATCATCATAATCACTCCCCATTGCATCGATTCTATTAGAAAAAATAAATAAATAAAAAATAGCGAATCAAACTAATTTTCCAAAAAATAAATTTGCAATTGTGTACAGATTATTCAAACAAAATTAAAAATTTATAATAGAGAATTATTTTTTTAGAAGCATTACTTATTACTAATAATTTAAGCATAATTTAAGCATAAGAAGCATTACTTATACTGTTTAAATACTTTTTTCAGAGATTTTACTTTATTACCTGATTTTCACTTCGATGCTAACCCATGAAAAATTACATGATGGTAATTTCCTTATTCATTCAATAATTAATTAAAAATTTTAAGAAAAAAATTTATTTTAAAGGTCGAAAATTTAATGAGCCTAATAGCCAAATTTTAAATTTGAAAGTTATAAGTATTTTTAAGAGTTTTTCAAAGTTATCATTTAAATTCCTGTAATTAACTTTTTCTAAGTAATTTTAATATCAATAATTGTGAACATAAGTTTTGTGAGTTTTAAAATGCTTACAACCATAAACATTAAAATTTGGTAACTAGGTTCCATCAAACACATTTTGAAGAGTAAAAACTGTTGCTATATTTATCAAAAACAATAGCTATATTTATCATAAGAACAGTTGCTATATTTATCATATAAATTCTATGCAGTATGAGACAAAATTGTTGAAGATCAAAAACAGTTTTTAGCAAAAAGAAAAAATTTCCTGAAAAACAAAAATATATTACCTACTAAGACATAAAATTTGAAATATTGAACTATCCACTATAATAAATTAATAACAATATCATTATTGACAATTGTAATAATCATAAATGTTTTTTTTTTTTGATAAAATATTAAGACAGAAGTTTTTCAAACGCTAATTTAATTGATTTAAAACAAAAAGAGAATCTCACTTTCTCCTAGCATTTCTACTGCTTAGTCGTCCATTTCCTACCATGCATTTTTCTAAGTGGTTAGCAAATCGAGAAGCTTCAATTTTTCTGGTACAATGAGGACAATTTATATTGTGTTTAGCACTTATTTGACCAAATATATCTTCTTTAACCTCTAAGAACGAAAGAATATATATTAATACAATAATGAGCACAAAATATATGCAAAATAACAATTCTATTAAAAAAAAATTATTAAGAGTACTTACTTGTCTCTCTTAATTAGATGAAATGCAAGAATCACATGAAAAATCAAAAGAAATATTATAATTATTAATTAATAAAAATAAACTATAAAATGAATGAAAAAATTTTCAAACTTAGAGTTAATTTCATTGAATTGCTCAAAATATTTATCAGTACAAAATAAAACAAATGAATAAAATCTAATAATATTTTAAAATTAAATAAAGTCAGCAAAATTGATGTTATAAACATCAATAAAAAGTTACACTTTATTAATTTAAAATTTTCCATCAATAAGACTAACACATTTGTAAAAAAAATTCTGATAACTGAAGTGATGTAACAAAAAGAGTTTAAATAATGGAAAAAATATTGGGTTATTTTCTATCTTATTTTAATTTGAGATTACAATTATAATGAAATTTATAGATGCAGATGCTTTTAAAGAGTAATGCAGTCAAACTTCAAAATTATGAACTCAATGGAAGGCAAGGACAAAAACCCAATATTTTTTAGTAATTCTGTCTAATTATTAACTGTGCTAATATTTTAAATGTTAAATAACATACATTTATTTCAAAAAACTTTTATTTCAAACAACCTCAATTGATTTTACATTACTGAAGTTTTTCTGTTTTACCACTTTCTTTGTTTGTTTGTTTTTTTTTTGTACATCTTTAGATGTCTAAGCTTTTTTTAATATCACATACTGTAACCTAATTGTTCTCAGTAACTATTTTCTCATGAATATCAGGGGTTTCTTTTATTTCGGTTCTTTTTGGAGTTAGTAAGTTCTTTCCTTTTTTATGCGCAGATATTCTTAAATGCAACACATATTCCATCTTCAGGAATGGTCAGGCAATTTCCTTTCAAACATGGTAATCTCTAAAGATTTGAAAAATTGCTCAAGGAAAGTTTCTTAAGAATTGGAAATAAAAAAATTAAAAAAAAACAGAAAAACATCTTAAATTCTAAATTCAGTGATCAAAAATATTAGGTCACTGAAAAATGTATGCATTTAAATAAAAGTGCTCCTTTTTCTTTTCTTTTTTCCTTATTAGTATTATTGCAAACACATAGGAACATCAAAAAGGTTCAACTGTATCAAGCTGAATCGTGATAAAACTTTTTCATGATTATTCATAATACTATATTGCTTACTGCAGGGTATTATGAAACTCATAACTAAGTATACTATTATCTGTAATTAGCAAAATTTATGTCCTTACAGAACAATAAATACTTGCTGATTCTATTTGAATCTACCAGATTTTATAGCCTTTCTTTAACTAACTTAAACCAATTTTTTTTTTTCATTTCTAAAGGAATAAAGTAATTGTTTCTTAATCTCAGTAACATAAAAATATTTAAAGAATTAAATTAAAAAAACGATTGAAACTAAAACCAACTTCCCACAAATATTTACACTTAGAATACAATGCATAAATTCCATTTTAGAATGAACATTTCGATTCACACTTTCCGATGATAAACATTTAAAAAAAAAAAAAACTCTCTTACTCCTCTTTATCTTTTCTATAAAGACCTATTTTAGATGCTCTATGTACTTGAAAACAAAAATCTAAGATGACATCATTGATCAAATCATCAGCCACAGCAGCAAAGGCTTCCTGAAAGATTCAAGTAATTACTGCAAGTAATGATTAAAGATTCATATTAATACATATCATTCAAAAAATAGGATATAATAAAAATCAACTAGTTAATTTTTAGCCGAAATCTGAGGTTCCGATTCATTAAAATAATCTTAAACATTGTTAGCAATAGTGCATATCTTCAACTATTAAACTTGTTTGACATTCAATTCAGTATCATTTATGCTTGAAATAAAAACTTACATTCAACTCAGCTAGACAGTTGTAACTGTCTCTTATATAGAAAAATAATGTGGATTATAGGAAAAAGTTCAGAGACACAAAAAATAAATAAAAACTATTAAAATGTCTAAAAGGTTGCCTTAATTCAATCTGTATGACAAATTCATCAATTAACTTTATAATAATAAATAACTTTATGACAATAAATAATTTTATAACAATAAATGACAATAAAAACAATTCAAAATGTTAAAGGTGGTATATTATTAAAAACAAATCAAGCTGTTGCAGAAAGCTGTGAAAAAATAAATATTTTAACAGCACTTACATCACTGACATCTGATGGCTCAAAATTCTCAGGAACAGCTAAAGGTGACGGCGGTCTTGTTAATGATGGTTCACGTTCGAAGGACACTCCATCATTAAAGGAACTCTTCTGCATTGTAAAACAATTTGTCGGGGAAAAAGAAACTTAAAATTTAAGTCTATCTCCAAAAACTAAACAACTTAAAAAATTTTCCTATAGGAGACACAAATTCGTAGGTAAAACAAACCCGTAAGAGGAAATGAAGGTCTATCTTCTCAGTGGCAACAAGAAATAAGTTTTCAGGTTTACCTTATTTTTGTAATTTATCTTACTATTGGCGTAAATAATTATATATTGTCATTACTTTTTCAGAATGAGTGTTTAGTTGTAATAGTTCTGAAATAGAATGTAACAATATAATCAAATATAAGAACATATAATAAATTGTATTTTTACTCTTAAAACAATGGAAAAAGGATAATATTAAAAAATAACAATAATAATTCAGAGGGGATGCAATTTTCTATCATTTAAAAATAAGTCATTTAGGAATTAGTGCATTTAGAACATAGCTTTGCATAATAGTAACATTAGTAACAAACATAATAGTAACATATAGTTCGTTACATAATAGTAACAAGCATAGCTTTGCATAGCTTTTTTTTAAACATAATTGCTAATACATTCGGAAGAGCAAATATTTCCGATTTTTGCGAAACGAGAAAGAATTGAAATATAATTTCTCTTTTCATATAAAATGAGTCCCGCAGTGGACTGATCGTTAAGACACGGTTCCCAGCAGATCACCGAAGTCAAGCATCACTGGCTACGGTCAGTGTGCGGGTGGGTGACCACTTGGATCAGTCTGCGTAGGGACCGAGGGTGTGCGGTATTGGTCCTCGTTAAACTGTGCTACCGTAAAGTGCTCGACTTCGCGCGCAGGTCGTCGGGCTACCGAAGCGGGGGTGCCATCCCTTCCGCAGAGGATCAAAATTGTGATGGCATGTCTTCGGATCATCCTTCGGGATGTTTCCCAGACCGTCGCCAATAGCCCATTGTGCAGCTCTAGTGCGACGTAAAGTAACAACAACAACAACAACAACATATAAAATGAAATAGTAAATTCATATTGAGCAAAAATTATCGCGATTATAGATATTTTAATTTAAATTGTAATTTTTTTATTTTATAACAGTCGTTGAACAACCGACCCAGTTTTGGGCTTATGACTACCGATGTTCAATTCCGTAGTCTTGTAATTTAGAACCCAATCCGGAAGATGAGAGAACTCCAGTATCAAGCATCGGGAGAAATTTTGGCTTCGTGGAGGATTTTTTGGTGGAACATTTGCGTTACATGGGGAGGAAAACCACCCATGGTTAGTCTGAGACGACAAGAGGACTCCATGATCCGTCTACCACTGAGGGTATTTCACGTCACCACTGTGGTCGGTATAAGCCGGATGCAGAATTCGTATCGACCAGCCATAGCTGGGATTCGAACCCGGTTCACCTTATTGAAAAGCAAACATCCTATCCCCTGAGACAACGCGGCTTTTCGATATAATTTGTTCTTCTCTGAAGTGGAATGGAATGAATGAATTTATTTAATTTCTTTCATCTCATAGAAATGAAAAAGCAACACCACTTGGAGTGCACAATAATTTTTTCATCACAGAATTTCATTTTCAACCAGACGGAAAGAGTAAGTGCGTTAAATGCTCGAAAAAACATTGACTGCATTTGCATTTATATGAAAGGAAGGAAACTTATTAGTCGCATATTCATGGCTGGTTTTCGAAAAATGCAATATTCTTATTCTTCGAATTGCAGCGTTTCGTCGCTTGAGCTTTTTTACTCTTGTTCAAATAAGGAAAAAAAAAACGGTTTTGAAAATATTAGGCTCAATCTAATTCTTTTTAATCGAGTAGAAAAAAGTTGGAAAAGAACCTCTAATTTCATGTTGAATTTAGAAATTTCAGATAACGTCTGAAAAAATTGGCAAATATATGTCCGAATAAACTATTTAATAAAATGAAAAGTATTTGATAAAATATGGGGTGTTCCTAATTGCTACTTTTAACACAGGATGTCATTATATATAGTTTTTTAGAATCTTAGTCAATATTTAAGTGAAAGAATACTATAGGCAGTGGGTTCAAATAAGTTTATGCATATTAGATGTTAAACATGAAAAAACGATGCCTCTGAAAACTAGCGAAACAGTTGGGGAAAGTGGAATGCAAATAACGAAACATTGACTATCGAAATTGGCTATATGTGGCGTAGAGCAGAACTCTCTGCCTATGGATGGCAATACTTTACACGCTTTCACCATTAGCGTGTGGAGAGTCATAGGAGAGGAAAGTACTGCAATTTCTCTCTTGATTTTCAAATAGATTAAAAACTTTTATATTTGGAAACTATATAGAACTGAAAACTACCTTGAACATAGTTCTAAAAGAAAGAGTCGCGGAAATTTTAAAAAATTATTAGTAACAATTAAATACGAGAAATAATAAGGAAAGGAAAAATATCTTAATACATTCCACTACATTCAACTGAGAAGAGAAGGAAAGGGGAGGGTCCAGATATGGAACCGGTATTCTCCCCAGATGACGTATTCGAGCGTTGCGAGCACGAACATTGGATTTTCGGGCGAAACAAAAGGAAATTGAAAGAAGATCGGTAGCGTAGAACTATGTCGAAGTATCATTAGACAATCAAATTGGTTTTTGAAATTTTCATCCCCTCTTTTTAACTAGGGATTCGATCGTTCCAACTGTCATTTTGCTACTTCCCAGTGTCCCGCAGTGAACTGATCGTTAAGACACGGTTCCCAGCAGATCACCGAAGTCAAGCATCACTGGCTACGGTCAGTGTGCGGGTGGGTGACCACTTGGATCAGTCTGCGTAGGGACCGAGGGTGTGCGGTATTGGTCCTCGTTAAACTGTGCTACCGTAAAGTGCTCGACTTCGCGCGCAGGTCGTCGGGCTACCGAAGCGGGGGTGCCATCCCTTCCGCAGAGGATCAAAATTGTGATGGCATGTCTTCGGATCATCCTCCGGGATGTTTCCCAGACCGTCGCCAATAGCCCATTGTGCAGCTCTAGTGCGACGTAAAGTAACAACAACAGCTACTTCCCAGTTTAAATATTAGCCTGTGACCTCTAATTGCGTACTATTAGTTACAATTCTGAATACTAGATTTTAAAAATTTATATAAAGAACGGGGAATTGGAACACTCTGTTCATATATTTTAAAAATGTTTGTGGCACATGAAATCTCAAACTTCCTATTGGGTGACGTAAAAGAATATCTCTTGGTTTTAATAATTTTTTTTCAACATAAAATAATAATTTTCATAACTGCTTTTTCTTCCTGACATATATTTTACAGTATAATTAAATTTTGTCTCATAGAATTCAAATTGTATACGGAACTGGCAGCATGTTTTGGAATTCGAAATTTATTTTCTGATTTGTTAGAATCATTAATTTCTAAAGAAATTGGAAAGGACTTTGATAATTCTAAGGAAATTGAAAGGAACAAAGACTTTGAAGAAATACTATATATCAAATGTTTTTTAAACCTTCAGATTTTTTTAAAAAGTTTTTTCCTTTGAAACCTTAAAATTACATTTTTTATGTATTAAAAATTTCAATAATTTACAGGTAATTTAACGAAATAAAAGTATAAATTTAACGATACAACAAAATTTAAGTATTATTGTTAATTGTTGTATTATTTTAATGTTGCTGTATTTATTTAGTTTATAATTGAAGTTAGCAGTTATTTATGAAAGATAAATTTTGTCTTAATTATTTTTATTTTCAAATAATATAGTGAAATAATTCTTAAAGACGCAGCNGGTTTCTTTTATAATTTTAAATAACTTACAGCATTATCGGATTCGAAATTTATATTCTGATTTGTTCAAGGATCAATTTCTTGGTAAAACTTGATAGACTAATGAATGTTCTTAGAATTTTTAACTAATAAGTTGCACTTCATACGATATATAATTTTTTTACTACTAATTAATTTGAAATCCAGCTTACGATTTTTTTAAATTTCAGTAGAATGTGATGTTTGAGACTATTTTATTTGATTATCAAATAATTTTTGAAAATTTCGTTTCGAATTTGTAAGATCGGACTGCGTCAAAAGCATAACAATATCAAGTGGCAGATTAAGCAAAATTTTTATTTTAGTTTTCAAGGACATTCAATATCTAAGAATTACACGGCGAAAAAATAAATATATGTGATAAAATACCTGATTTTCTCAAAACTTTTCTGATATAAGTTTTGAATGAAAAAATGTGTTTAAAATGTTTTTACATTTTGGTTGTTCTGGGCAAAGAGTTCATTTCTCTAAATAGCCCAGACAAATTTATTTAAATACAGTTTCACCATTGCAAATGTATTTCTAGATAATCTTCTCTATTTTTCAATCATAACTGAGATTGAAATTAACATATTATTAGTTATATGTACCCAATAAGGAATTCTACTTAAATGGAATAGTTAAAAGTACACTCTAAAAAATCGAAGAAAATCATATGTATACAATATTTGGATTGGGAACTACGCTTAAGCTTTTACTCAAATTAATTATTAATGAGAAACTTTTCCTATTTTTAATTTTATGAAACAAAATATCTAAATTGAGATTTGCTATGCTATCAAAATTTCTCAGTTTTTCATAGGCTCGTAAAATCTCAAATATTTTACATGATTTGCACGAATAAACATTGATGGACCAATCCAGAGCATTTTTATTAAGAAAGTAGTTAGATTATCAAAATAATTAAGTACGACCGGCAAGCCTTTCAGTTTCACAGGCAATCCCAATTTTCGAATACGCTACCTGGGGTGAAGACCGGTTTCATGCCTTATTTTTTAAAATTCCTATAATGCTTTCTTTTAGAAATATGGTTTAATGTAGTTTAGAGTTATATATCTAACTTAAAAGATTTTAATCTATAAGAAAATCAAAGCAGAAACTAAACTTCCTCTTCCCTCTTTTAAGCCCTCTTTTTTTAAAATAAATGGGGAGAAAATGCAGTGAATATGTAAGATTAAGTTATTAATAATTTTTACTTACCTCAACTAGATTAGATATCTATTCAGCGCTGTAAAAGTTTAGCACGCCAAAAGGCCTTAACAAATATGCATACTAACACTGGCGATGTGGTGATTTAACAGATAGAAAAAGTCGCCACAATGATTGAAGCGGTAACCCTTTTTTTCGTTACCACCGGAAAAATAGGACTTTCACTTCCTTTTGCAGGCTCCCTTTTATTTACGAAAATCAATTCAGGTTATATGCTTTTTATTAAACTAACTTATTGCTCGCAATGAGGTTTAAAATATACTTCAGAATTATATGATTGTTTGATCAATTTATGATATTATTCAAAAATAGTTTAATCTATGAGTAAACTTGAAAAGCAATTAACGTGCTGATGTAAAATATTTAATGTTCATTAAGTTCGAACTATGTGCTCTAGTTCGGACATTCACTAGCCACGATCAGCGTTCGGATAAGCATTACTTCAAGATGAGTTCAATCTGTTTACTGAGTTTATTGTTTTTAAAGAATGAAAAATTCCCGAGTTTCGAGTAATTTTTTGACCTGAAAAAGTTGCTTAGGAATTTAGAACAATCGACCTTATTGTTAGTTTCAAAACGAAGTTATGGTTTCTTTTTTGTTTTTATTTATTTTGAATGACTCATCCTGTCCCGTCACTTCCCTTTTAATATTACTTATGTTAATGTTCAGAATGTGTCAACAGGTGTGGTGGCTATAATAATAAATTTAAATTTATATTAAATGTTGCCACATTTTTTGTAGATGATTGGGCTGCATATATGGAGCAATTATTGACTAAAAAAGATGGAATGGCTGATCGAAGAGCTGAATTAGAAAGAAAACGTGAAAAATTGGCCCTTCTTCGAGAAGAAAAGGCGAGAAGAAAACGTGAAAAAGAAGCTCAAAAAGTAATTTGCCTGCATCGATTATTAGTTATGTTATAAATGAAGAAACAATGCAAATATAATAACCAGCGTGTCTTGATGCTGGTAATTGATGAATATTTATTTATAAGCATCAAGACAGCTGTTTATTTTTTAAAAATTTTCTTTTGGTCAGTTGTCTAACACAAAGATAACTTTCCTGTCTTTAAGTAGCAGTAAATTATTACTCTAAATTTATCAAATTTTTATTTTAATTAAGTTGCATTAATTATTCTCTTTATATTTACTTAAAACATGTTAGTTATTATGTGTCTTTCATATCAACCTATAAGCATTACCACTCACGTTATAGAGATTAGCAAATTAAAATGATCATATTAATCCTGGGGATATTTCCATATCCTGATCTGCCACACGAACTACATTAGCCAAGGTGCTGAATTAATTTTAAATGGGAGGGGGGGAATATAGATGTTTGCCCGGTGATGGCTACGAGTTATACATTTCGAGTTGGTCCCTTTCTGTGATGTATTTTTTTAGTTTCTCGTGGGCCGCTGACGGGAAGTTGCCAAGACTCTGCCAGATTCTCAAGATCACAATACAGAAATCTCCCCTGAATCCCACTTCCGTTCTGATTTCCTTCAGTTGTGGTCAGTTATTGGGGAAAAATAATTTTGGTAATTGTTTTAAAGGAGAACAGTTAACTCAAATTAAAGTATATTTTATTGAAGTTTTTTAATTTCAGAAAATTATTTCCAAATGACTGTGATGTTTTAAAAAGGAATTTATAGAATTTCAAAGATTTTATACGAACCCAACCTCATATAATAGTATTTTATCTAACTGAATAGTTTTATACCTTACAAGTAAATTTTGTTATTTTTTATTATTTTTTTATTTTTTAGGTTGAACAACTCTCTGTCCAAAAAGATGCCTTGATTGAAACTGATAAATTATTAGCATCTTTGAATGTTACTACATCGATTGGTAATATTAAATATTTTCATTCATAAGCTTACGTTTATTAAATAAATAAATTATTTATTCATTTTTTAACTGAAATAAGATTTGTGTAACTTTAAAAAAAAATAAGCTACATATTTTGTGCTCTTGACTTTAAATATACCAATAGTTCTTCACTGCTGGCATATTTAGTGTTAAAAGTTTATATACTAATGGTTTTTTTTATTTTACTTTTCAAATTATTATAATACTTTAAACTTTCCTAACATAACATAATATTAACTTTTTTCAAATTTAATATATTTAGTTTCTAATTTTAAAAAAATGTATTAATACTTTCTTTGAATGTTTATCCTTTTAGCTTCGTCCCCTAGTACGACAGAATCAAGCCTAAATGATTCATCATTGAATAAGCCAGTTATTCCCCAGCCTTCTCCGCCTAAACTAAAGTTAGTACTGTTTTATAATTTTCTCTTTTTAATTTCAATATTTTCTCCACTGTGAACCACTTATAATTTCTTATCAATCATTTTAGTAATATTGATGTAAAATGGATATGTGTAATTTATGTAAATGTTGGCAGAAAGTTTTTTTTTTTGTAGAAAATTTTTTAACAACATTTAATATTTCTTGTTTAAAAAAAATTAGCAATATTAGTTAGAATAATTTTTTAAAAAAATATATGATGAAATAATTCAAATTTATAGGCAATTTTATATCTTTCAAAAATAGCTAAATTTAAATAAAAATATATGAATATCATGATCATTAATTTTTAATTTATATGGAGCTTTTTTTTTAATAAAAAATAAAAAACATGTAATAGTTTTGAAGCAAATTTTATCTAAATTAACCAACATTAGAAATGATATATTAAAAAAATTGCTGGTCCTTTTGACCAGCAAACATCAATATGTACTGGTCCATAGATAATATTACTGATTCACTCGAAATTTAGCATTAAATATATTTCTATATCACTTAATATCATTTTCATGCTTTTGTATACTATGCATTTCATTTTGTTATTTTCTGTATCAAATTTTAGGCATTCATAATTTGCAGCCACAGAGACTGAAATACACAAATTTAAATAGTCTCCTTTTCTTAATTCATTGTGTCATCTGTTTTTTTATTATATATACTATTTTTTTATTCTGTTTGTAGTATTATTATTACAACCTCCCGAACATGTTTGAAGGTTCTGTGAACCACTAACAATTTTGTACGCTGTTAACAGTTAGAAAATGATTTGCCATTGTTATGAAATTACATATATAATTTATACAAAGATTTCTATTAAATCTAAATCTGAGTCTAACGATAATGTTTGATAAAGAATCATTACTTAAAGATTTCTTGATTAATTATGTTTTAGTAACTAAAGATATGAGTTTTTTAAATGAGAGTTTCAAAAAATTTTTTTAATCCTCACTATCTGTAAATATTGTTTTAGAGGAAGATGTCCCTATAGAAATATTGTCTTAGTGCAAATATTTTCACCATGATCTTAGATTTTGTAATAAAAATTTTAATCAACTGAAATCAAAGTTTGATTCGAAATGCATTTTTTCTGAAATTCTTTTGTGCTATCAAAATTTTGAAAATTAATCTTTATATAACTAACCAAACTTTTGACTATACAAAATGCGTATATTTTTATGGTAAATATAAGATAAAAATTTAATGATAAGAACTTACTAATTAATATTTTACTGTCAAATATTCTTTTTACTTTTGAGATATTTCGACATTCTCAAGGACAATTAAAATGATAGAATAATTAACATTTTTTATGAAAAGAAATATAGTTTCTAAAACTGTTGTTCAATATTAAAAGAAATTTAAAACCATGTTAAACCTGTCCTCATTTCAAACTAAAGATTACTCTCAGAATATTTTGAAAATCTTATTTTATACTATCAACAGGGGTCAAATCAGAATTTTTTGTAATGATCCTATTTTTTGATTTTAGCCAAAGTCAAAATATAATTTCGAGAAAATTATTTTGTCAACCTTATTATTATGAGTATATAATTTCATGAAGAATTATTATATTAAAACGTATTAATTTCTCATTTTGAAAAATTAAATAGAGTTTAGAATTTTGTGAATGGTCCTTAAGTAAACAAAATTTCTTTCTAAATGTGTCCCCAATCAATATTTCTGGATTAGTGAATTTTCCCCCACCTATTTGAATGTAGACTGCCTTAGATAAGAATTCTGAAAGATTCTGTCACCTGTTCAGTTCACATGTTCTAGCAAAACAAAGTAGTAGTTCTAAAAATTTCTTTGAACCTCATTAACTTAAAATGAATGCTCAAATATGTGTAACACTTGTTCCAGCCAATATATATATATTTACTGTATATCTCTGGAGGTTATGCATTTAGTATTTATTACAGATTTTATAAACTAAAAGATATTTTATATCTTATTTTGTAATTTACTAATTAAATTGTTACTTAATTCAATTTAATTTCATTTCATAGAAAAGTGAATTTGTCGTTTGTCAATGTTCACACAACAACAGTTCCCCCATTTGAAAAAGTTGTGTATGACAAAAACACCCAGACATTACAATCAGGAAGTGACAAAGAAGGTAAGTTTTAATTAAAATAAAATATATTTTTCTTGTATCTTTCTGGTAATTTACAAATAAAATTACTAATTTACTCTTTACAGGATATAAATACTCATTTCTAGTCATAAATTTTTCTATATTTTTTTTTATCAAGTTTGCATATTTAAAAATTTTATTTTATAGCTAACTTTTATGTAGCTCTGTAGTGATCTGTGGAGAAAAATCTCGTAAATTTAAAGTAGTTGCTAGACTATTTTAGATTTAAGAAATTTATAATTTTTTTTAAAAAAAAAAAACCGGACTTCTAGTTTTATTCTAATATTTTTTATTATTACTATTACTTTGTTTTAAACACATTTGAATTACTTAACTAGCTATTTATTTGTGTGTGGATATGATTTATATTTTTTTTTTATTATTATTCCTGTCAACAGCAAAAATTTAAAAGAAATAAATATTTTTTTTATGTAACTCTTTCATTAGTAAGAGAATCCTATATAATAATATGTGAAACAAAGTATGGTCAATAAATGTATTTTTATTGTTTTTTAGGGCAATGCAAATAGTTAATTCATTAATTATAATTTATTTTTACTAATTTATATTTTCATTTTTCTCTAACAAAAATATATTTATTTTTATTTTTATCTTTTCAGCTGCATCACTTGATTATTATGGTAAGATTTTTATTATATTATCCTTGTTACTTTAATCTAATTTTGTTAAACATCCCATTTAATGTTAATTGAGCATAACTTAATAAGTTTATCTTTAATATTCTACAGATATTAAAAAATGAAATTAGGAGTTTTAGTCATAAAAGAAATTTCATTGAACATAACATTAACTTAAAATTATATAAACTAACCATAATAAAACAGTTTTGTAATTTTTTTTTTCTTTCAAAGAAAAAAAAAACTGGTCGAAGGTGAATGGTTAAGTAATTTATGTACACTGGTATTTATATGAAATTGAACCCATGGTAAATGAAGTTTACAAAGTCAAGATGTTATTTATTGTAAGAAATTATTTGTAATTGTTTATTTAATTTTGACAATGCCCGCAGATCATTAGCAATAATAAGAAGTCTTATTGTACAGCAATTGGATATAATTCTGCTCCCTTGAATAAAACTTTATTTTAAGCATATCATTTACAACTCCATCATTTTAATTTTTCTTTTTAAAAAAAAGGAAATCTATTATCATATTGAAGCTTTTGTAAGCTGTAAAAGTGAATAAATCTTATTTTTCTTCTACCGATAAAAAATTCTAAAATATGATTATTTTCAGATTAAAGAAGACATATAAAAAATTATTCCGGAAACATTAAAATTCTAACAATCTCGAAGTTTCATTTGAACATCTTTCTAGTGACTCAGAGCTATAGGTTTAAAATTAGAACAATATACTAGTTTCTTCTTTTTTCGATTTATTTTCTGTCATCCTGTCTTTGAAGAAAAAAATTCATATATGTGAAATTAACCTGAATATATTCTATAACTTTAACTGATTTAGGATCTTTACTGGATATGTCGATTAGTTACTCCTCAGTTTTCCAGTGTCACAAACTTGTTAACGCTAGTAAAAATTTCTCTTCATTCAGTTCAACATGGCTGGCTTACGGCAATGAGGGAAAGCTGGTTTATGTCTCTCAAAGAGTTGCGAATATTGATTCATTTTAAACATCAATATTAAGATTAAATATGTAAATGCTGATTTAAATTTTGTTTTTTTACCCTTGTGAAACAAAACTTTTAAATCTACTTCTCTTCATTAAAGGAAGCTTCCTTATAAGTTATATTCCCTTACATTTGATGACATTTTACTCTGGTGTCATGAAAAAATGTTTTTCTTGAAGAGTGATTTCAGTAGCTTATTACACATGACTTATCATTTTAGTATTGAATACTATTTAAATTGTGTCAGAAGAATTTTTAAAACTCTATACTTGCATTGAATAATGTTTACTTTTGTGTTTAAAAATTGCATGGGTTTTTTTTCTTTGGTATATCTTTTACATGAGCACCTTACTATTTTCTTCTACTTTGCTGTGAAATCTTCTGCATTACTAAAATTGTTATTTTACCTTATTTTTAGGGATTCATTTGACTGTGAATAAAACAATGCTTATTTTTATATTTCCTTTATTTATATCTAAGACATTAGAGCAGCTTAAGTTGAATAAGCTTTGTTAAACAAATCTATCTAGATAAGTATAAAAATTTAAGACTTACGATTTTTCTGATGTTTGTCTTGAATCTATCAGACAAATGTTTAATTATCTAGTGTTGGGAGGTTTTGTTAATAATGTCGTTACAGCAAGAGGAGTTCATAATGACAAAATTATAGCTATGCATCTAAGCTGCTGTGATTTTTTTCCCCACTTCTTTTTAATTCTAATTTTGATTCAATATTTTCTAGTTTACCATGTGCTTGAACATCTTCTAAATACTTTTGTTTACTTAATTAGTTTCATCCCATGGTTTGTTTATAGTTATTAGAAAATATTTTTAAAATATCTGTTAGATTATGTTATTGGTCATGGATTACAAAATTATTTTGAAGAGCTCTGTGAATGTATGTTCACAAGAAAGTGTAAAAAGCATAAAAATGTAATTAATATGCATAATTGTTTCCAAAATTAGAGCTAGAAAATGTTTATTGTTTCAGTTTGGTATTTTTATAACCCAGCTCTTAATTAATTACCAAACATTTATTTTTACTTCTTAGTTTTATATTGTAATGTATTCCTTTCTTTTTTTAGTTATAAAATGGAAAATTTATTAAGATTACGTTAAGAGTTTTCAAAATTTTTCAGTAATTGAGAAACTTAATCCTTTAATTAGTATTTAGTGTCACTAACTTCAAAAGTCAAATGAGTAATTAGTAATTTCTCTGTAGTCTTCGGTTAATATTTAAATCAAAATTCTTTTTAGTTTTATAATTTTATAAACTATAAATAATGAAAGGTAAGGCTTAGAGTTTTTCTTAAAACTCTTAATATTCTTTTTTTTCAATTACTATAATTATTAAACTAATTTCCCAGGAAATCTTTCAGAATAAATTTTGCTTTTTAGACTCAGTTGACATTTTCATTTAAAAAAAAACTTTCAGTTGGAAACTACTTTTATAACATTCATAATTTTTTTCCGGACTGTTTTTCTAAATAAATTATTTTCTTCGTTAACCTTCTTCCTATCACTTAATATTAGTTAATTGCAATTTGAAATTGCAATGCAATTATTATTATAACTGAACATACTCAAATTATAATAGTGTTAAAAAACTGAGATAATTATCTTGGATTGTAATCAATTAATATGATGAATCAATTTTTCTAAAACTTTGACTTTTAGTGTCCTTTTTTACAAAATTATTGTTCAATAAAAATTTTATTAAAATATGTTGATTAAAACTCAGTCTATGTATAAACAGTTTTGGTTTACATATTCCTATCTCTATAATAATTTTAAGTGTTTTCTCAATTTCATTGTGTGTACTCTCATTCACTATCTTAAAGTACTTTTTTTTTTCTATTTTGCATTGTTTCACGATTCTTACCTGCTGTGAGGTGAAGCTTTCCTTTTTTATCACTTTAGAGTGGGAAGATGAATTTCAAGGTATGTAATGCGTTGCTTTTGCATGACTTCTTCTTCTTATTTCTTCTTGTCTTGCTCTCTGCTGCAAGTATAGAGTTTTGAGTTTAAATGTCAGTGTCCATGCAATAAGAATGTATGCTTTTACTTATGCAATCTCCTCATTTTTTATTTAGTGTTTATCTTCTTCAAATTATTATGTCAATGAAATATGTTTTCAATATTTTATAAGATATTTATATTCTTTATGTACTAATTGTTTTCTATTTTAGCCCTACATAACTAAACATTCTTCAAATAGACTCTTGACTTATGAAAAGTCTAGATGTTACTATAATAATTTAACAATAGAACTTTAGATATTGCACACCAGGCATTTCATGACCAATCTGTGTTTTAATATAAATTTAAGAATATTTCCCTTAAACTGCCTTAATTTGTGTGACTTCAATAAAAGAAGTATAATATTGTAAGCTTGTTTTTAATTCATAGAATTCAAATGATTAGACAGAGTAACACTAATTTAATAAAGTTAAATTACCTATTTTTAAATAGTTATCTACTTATTATTAGTTGTCATTAAGAAAATATTTTAGTAACTGTAGGAAATATATTAAAAATTTTCATTTCCTGGGAAATGAAAAAACTTCCGAGATAAATTACATAGATGTTAAATGAGGTAACAGTACAGTACCACTTGCACACAAAGGTTATTGTACAATCACTTGTTCTACCTATTTGTACAATTTAAATACATTATGAATTGTAAAATCTAAGTTTTCAATTGTAAAACTATCTGGTAAACTAAACTATATGTTATATAATAATATTGTTTCTGTTCAGAAAGTCACTAATTATTAAAATCATTTGGTCTTTTTACTGTTTAAAGCAATTTTCAAGATAAAAGTTAATTTAAATATAAGTCTTTATTAAAATATTTGTTTATTGTATATAAATATAAACTTAATAAGGTAAAGTTTTTGTTTTAAAATATTTATCATTAATGAAACAAAACTCCATTTGTATCTAAATACTTTGTATTATTTTGTACAGATTCTTATTCTATTATAAGCAAACTAATTATTGTTTACTGTTCTATTATAAGCAAACTAATTACTGTGTTAACATTAAAATCTCAGGGCATATATTCATGCCTCCTTCGTTTTTTTATATTTTTTGACACTTCTTTTGAATTTAAATGCACGATTCTTCATTGTCATTTATAAAGATATAAGTAAAACTTTAAAAAATTGTTTACAGATTTTGAGACCTAATGAAAATATAAATAGGTTGTGTATAGGAATTTTGGTCGCCAAATTTAGCATAGTTTATGTTGGAAAAGTAAGAAATTGACTGCTGAGGTGGCAAACAGTCATGGTAATAACCCTTGAGTGATTCATGGAAAGATTTTACCAATTTGACCTTGTGATTTTTTAATTAACCATTATAATTGTTCGAGTTTTTTATTTCGCTAATTATTTATTTTATATTGTTTTTAATATATAGTGATTTTGATATTGAGTATCTAAGTGCATGTGCCTTGATGTTTGTGGACAATATCAATATTTTCAGTATTTGTGGAATTAATTTTAGTCAGTTTATAATTTTAAAAATATCTATATCTCTTGTGTGTCATTATTTTTTCAACTTCAATAACAAATGGAAGTGCTTTGGCAAGTTAAATGATAAGTAAAATAAAGCTAAAAAACGAAGAAAAAAGTTATATCATTAAATAAAAAAAGGGGATACTTCTAGTAAAAAATCATATCTGTTCCTCCATTTCTGTAACCACATTGAAAGTGTCGAATTATGTTTTTTGGGTGAAATCAGTGTAAAAAATGTTAAAAAATATTCTTATTGCTTTTCTAAAATATATTCCTTTAAAATTTCCTGATTTCTGAGTTGACTAGAATTTTTTTTAAACAAAATTTTTATCTGTTTTGATAAATTTTCTTTTTAAAAAAAATGTATCTTTAAAAGTATTTTCTGATTGTAATTTTTTATAAGTTGCTTCATTTAATATTTTTCTTTATTGCAGCAAAAAGGTATATAATTTACAAATACCGTTTATTTTTTATTGGGATATTTCTATTCAAAGCCAAATTCTACTTGTTAACCATTTCTTAATCAAAACTAAAATTCTATTGTGTGCTTTAATTTATGAAATGCTGTATATTTCTCATAATGTATGACTTAGCAATTACATTTAAAGTGATTTTATATTTTTTTTTCTTTCAAATTTGTCATCAGAAGTATATGCTTGATAAAATTTTTCTAAAACAGTGATACTGATACAAATCAGACATCGTTAAAAATAGTTGTTGAGAATCGAGAGTCTAGCAACTCAGTAAAGTAATCAAACAAACAATTGTAATCTTTTTAGATTTTGTAACACTAGTATTTATGTAGCAAATATTCATAGCATGGTGTTAAAACGTAGGGATTAAAAATCTTTACAGCAACACTTGATTTTAAATCTGTTTACAGAAAAAAACCTTTTGCTTTGCCTACTTAAATAATAACTTATACATTTAATTGTTAAATTTAAAATAATTTTTCTCACATGTTTGCTTTGTATTAGTTTGCTCTTCATATTTTAATTTCTTCATTATCATTTTCAAATGCCATTTGTTTAGCATCTAAGTCATTAGACCATGGGCTTTTCAATATTTCTCTACTTGAGTTGATCAACAATCTAAATTCAAAGCAGCCATATCCTGGCCTGTGTCAAACAAAGAGAACATATAGGCAATTTTCAACAATTTTTAGTCAACAATTTTTAAACAAAAAAGATTGGGCACACAGACAATCATGCCCTGTGATGAGTCTAAAAGTTTCAACTGCACAAGATGATTTAACTTCTTCACTGGTGATGAATAGTAATTTCTTCATGTTTTTCTAAAACTCTTTATGTTTAGACTCTATATAGAAACTATATTATTTCCAAACCATGCAAAATCTAAAGATGATAAAACTTTGAATTGCAGTTAATAACCAAAAGCAGTATACAAGCATATAAATTTGTATTGGTTGTTCTGGAAAAAAGTTAGTAACTCTATATAGAAAGTAAAATGAAGTAAACAAGTTCCTCTTGGATATTTAAAATAAATTAATACTGCCAGAAAATTGACCTGTGTTTCATTTAAATTTGCTTGAATTCTGTAAAAAATATATTCCTTTTTATAAAATATATGGCATGACAAAATTAACTTTGGAAATTTCAATAAAAACTACTTCATTTATTTTGAATTTAATTACCAAAAACACAATTAAGTGGAGTTCTAGTCTTTCAATTTTTGGTGGCCATTTTAAGCATTTTCAATTTACCATATTTTAAAATGTGTGTACTAAAAGCTTAGTAGCTGTTTATTTGATTTATTTATTTGACTTTTTTTCTAGTTCTGACTTATGATGATTCATCTATATCTGAAGATGGTGAAAGTTTGTCTATAACATCAACCGATGGTATTGTTCATCATTTTTCTAAACATAATAAAGCAACAAATGTCAATGCAATCAAAGCTTCAAAATTAGCTACAGATGAGAAACTTATTATTAATGACAAAGAAAAAGAAGTAGAGAAAAAGAGTATGAAAACTTATTTTATCTAATAAAAATTCATTTTATTTTACCAATTTTATTTTTACCTTCCCTTGAGTGTTGTTTTTGAAATATTTATGAAATAAATTTGTTATTTTGAAAATAATTCCAAGAATCTGATGCTGAAAAATAAACTTCATTAAAAAAAAAAACTTCATTTGGCTTTAAAATAGAAATTAAAGTCCACATGTTTCAAAAGCTCAAAATAGACATCCATTCTCGAGACTTGTCAGACATCATTCTCGTCTGGCAAGTCTAGAGAATAGTCCATCTTTTAATTTAAATAAAGTTTTTTAATTAAGTATGAAGTGGTTACTATTTTGTTTATACTTTTTATGCAATAAAGACTCTTTTGGCCAAAATCCACACCCTAGCTTGAAAGAATTACTCAAATTTCAACTGAGTATTTACTTCATTTTATGCATATTAATAGTGTATACAAAATTAATTTAAAACGAGATTGGTTAACAAAAAAATGAGCAAGTAAATGTAAAAGATGTGTAATAACTTACAAGTAAAACTGTTCTGAATTTTTTTCTTATTTTAAAAAGCATTGAAACTGTAGAAGTTAAATTATACTTTCTACAAGCATAAAAATTTTTCACACTATTATCAAACTATAAAAAAAAACTGAAGCACTATGAATAATTTTCCCATTATCAAAAATGTGTGTGCTGATAAAATGAATATAATCATTTAACAGATATATGATTTGCAAAAGCCTGAACTAAAACATCCATATAATGAGCAAAACAAAAAATAGATATTCTCTTGTAATAGTAGGTTGAATCTATGCACTAGCTTGCAACATATCTTGTTAATCATTTTAATAAACTTCATTGCTAATCACAATTTTTGAAGAAAATCAAATAATCAGTAAAGTACTTCGTAGCTTCACTAAAATAATTTTTTAGAATATTATGAAAAACATTCACTTTGTGTTACATCCGGGATTTTATTAAATTTGGGGTGCAATGAATTAGCTCAACTGTAAATATCTATGGTGCTGAAGTTATTTTGAAAAATTTATTGGTATGGGTTAGCATGCACCTTGATTTGTTTCAAATGCAAAGATCTTAAAAATATTTGTTTCTGTAAGCATTAAAAATGCTTCGTAAAATCTATCTTATAAAAAAGAAGAAAAAAAGTATTTTCATAAGTATTTTGACAAATCGTAAATACAGCTCTTCCCTATAAATTGAATGCTATGTTCTGAATTCCACATATAATGATAAATTGCATTATTAAGAATATCTATTACCTTCAGTTTTAGATTTGAGTGAGGAAGAAAGAATCTTACTTATGAGAAGTGAAAATTTTCAGCAATTCATCGACCGATCTTCTCGAATTATTGAAAGGGCCTTATGTGAAGATGCTGACATTTTTATTGATTATACTGGTGTACAAGAAGAATCAGAGAGGTATATTTTAACTAATATTTTATTTATTAATTGCTCATTATTGCATCAATGATCCTATTCTTGTATATTTTATGCATTGTTTTATAATTATTTTCAATTATCATGATTAAAGAAAGTTGGCTGTTGATCGTTATAACAATCATACTATTGATAGAATTTTTAATAATTTTTCCTAATGGGATAAAATGTTTTTAATTGTGATTTTTTTCTTAGACAATAATTACTTTGCAGAAAACTCAGAAAATTATTCAAACAATATAGTATAATTGGAAAGATCGCACACATATTTTTAAGTTATTACTGAAAATCTGTTCCACAATTAAGACAAATCTTAAAATGTTCTTTAATAATTTTTTTAAAAAAAGTGCTTAAAACTAAATTCTATTTTAGCAACAAAAAAAAATGGGCTTATTAACAAAATGGATACTGAAAAAAAATATGGTCCCAGTATTTCATTCATTAAAACAGTCAAAAGTTTAGACCTCTGATGTTATTTTCACTTTTTAATATTTTAACATCTCAACGTAGTTTTATTTTTAGAAAACTCTTCAACCAATTCCTATCAGGTTCTGTATTTTATCATTTAAAATTACGTTATGATTGAAATAATGAAAAAGTTTTATACCTTGCAGTTTAAATTTTTTTCATCCATTAACAAATTAAATGATAAAAAATATTTTTTTCATAATTCTTTTATAGATCCTATAAATTACAGTAATTAAAAAATTTATATTTTCTTATTTCAGTGAAGACAGGTCAGGAATGTCATTGCTATTAAACCGTTGCTTTTCTGATGATGTTTGGTCAAAGAATCGTACTATCACTAGTTTTGACTGGTCCACTCAGGTCTGTATCAGTTCTTTCATTTTTTTAAATACATATCTACTTTTTTCTTTTTTTTTAACTTCTATTTGTTTTGAGGTTTTATTACAATCTCAACATTCTATGCATTTTGTTTGTGTTTAAAAGTATTGATGTAAGAAAAAAAAAACATAATACAGTGATAATAATTATGACATAAAAGTATATTGTGGTAGTATTGTTTATTTATCTAAACCATCTCTTTCCACTGTTTAGTTACTTCATATTTTAATGACACTAGTTTTTTTTCTTTCTTATGATTATTCACTTCATATTTTATTGACATTAGATTACTTTTTCTTATTAATTTTAATTATCTCTTTTGATTAACTTTTTTTTATCTAGTTCCCAGAGTTGCTATGTGCATCTTATAATCAGAATGAAGATGCTCCTCATCAACCTGATGGTATCTGTTTAATTTGGAACACAAAATTTAAGAAAAATACTCCTGAATATATTTTTCATTGTCAGGTTTGTACATTCTTATCTAACATTTGATGATCTTGATGGAAGAACTTGTAAATTAGCATTTTACAGAATTTGAGAAAATGAGCAATTCATAAACATTTGAAATGTTTTTACAAAGCATAGCATCCTATAACACTGATGGTGCATTTAAACAGTACCGACTGTGAAATAGTTTTTACGATCGGTAAAATTACAAAATCAGCATGCCTGGTGTGGTGTAAGCTGAAAATATTAATGATCGTAGTTATAAGATTTACAAACAATGTATAAAAACGAAGAATTTAACCAAATAGATTTTAAAAACATAATTATAAAAAATAGATTTCTGAAGTATACTTTACTATCGATTTCTTTTGACAACTGCATTTATTATCATTTTTTATGAAATATGTTGGCACGATCAACTCGTACAATCAAATGTATTTTAAATTAATATTAAAAAATTAATTAATATTAATTAATATTAATAAAAATTAATTAATTAATATTAAAAAATTAGATGTATTTATTCACAAGAAAATTTAATCAGGATCTTCGAAACCTTCAAAAAAGATTTGAAAATGTTGGAATTATTATCAAATATGATATCTAAACACTTGATTAAGACTGTCAGTTTCCCTGGCTGTGATATTTACATCAATAACAGGGAATGAAACAAACAATGTTGGCTTCCCTAAACACGAGAGCAAAATTTTGCTAAGTATATGGAAAGCTCACTCTCATCTTTCCACTATTCACCCGACATCCTTCCTTTCTGTCTCTCTTGTGTTAAATGTTAATTTACTTTTTCGTAATTACGTCTTTTGCTTCTCTTGTATTTTCGGTATTCTTTGACTGTGAAAGCTAACATGTTTAGCTAAATAGTTTGTATGCTAAATGAATTAATTCGGCCATTACAAGGTCAAAATTACCATATGTTACCATTTTCAGAGTGCATAATAAATTTAAAGCCATGGTAAAAAAAAACTTTTTGAGTTTTAATATTTCTAGATTATTAATATTTCTAATTAATACAAAGATTATGATTTCCTCTGCAACTTCTTTTTTAATGAATTTTAAACTCTAGAATTGACTTATTGAAACCATCAAAAAGTGACATAACAAAAATTTACCAACCATACTTATATCTTATGTAAATACTGAATCCTATATGAATACAGTGAAACCTCCTGTTATGGACACTCCTGCAAACACCTCTCAATACGGACATATTTTTAATTCCCCGGGAATCTTCTATGAATAAACCGGACACTCCCGTAACCACAAAGCGGACACTCACGTAATCGGACGCGGACAGTCATTTTGGTCCTGAAACGGACACTACTTTTTCTAAATAAATTGCAAGCTAAAAAAATGCAACTTTTCACCATTTTTAAAGCATGAAAATAAAGCTTTTTGCCTTATCCATAACTAAAAATATTGTTAGGCTATTTCACCACCGAAAAATCAATCTTTCTCCTGTCACCTTGTCTTATCTTTGTAAAGAAAGGAGAGAAAATGGTACTGCACTCCTGAAATAATTTTGACATCGGCATCTTTTGATCTTTTTATCTGGACCACACAGGTTATGAGACCCCTCAAGTTGAAATGACTTCTCTCAATGCTTCTTCCCCATTGAAAATTTCTTTAATTTTCTTATCAATTTGAAGACTGTATTTAACACAACTGGGGTAAAAAAAAGAGAACAGAAGTATAATCTTTGAGGTGTTTATATAAATGAAACATTTATTCAGACACTTGATAGCTGATCAATTGTGAATAATCATCTCCATAGGTCCTCATGACTTACAGGTATGCATTACTTTTTTTTCTGTGAATCATGGGAGGTTTATTTTCCAAGAAGGTATTAACCATGTTCCCTATCAAATGATAAGTAGGTGTAAGGGGATGTGAACCTAATAATTGAAACGGACTGAGGACAGTACGCTCCTATTTGGTATCATATGTCTAACTTGAGTATCTATGCTAATAGGAAAATTATATTTATTTATCTGTAGCTACATCCAGAATTATGTATTTATATCAAACTTCTTTATATATTCTTTTTTATCTTTCTTATTGTTTAAATAAATATTCTTGTAGATATTTACAGTATCCTTGTAGATATTATTTAATTATTTCTACATCTTTGAGAATATTCTAAAAACAATTTACGGTGTTAAATTTCGTTATTAGGGTACCCTTCCCGTAAACGGACAACTCTCATAAACGGACAAATTTTTTGGTCCCATGAATGTCCGCTTAACGGAGGTTTCACTGTATATGTTTTCACTCTGTTAGTTAACATGTACTTCCACTAAGTTCTTCACCCCACTCTTTAAGTCTTATTTATGTTTTCTATCTAAAATAATGTCAATGTATCTCATATATATATTCAAAATGAAGATAAAACAAAGGAAAATTATAGACAAATCAAAAAGGGGGGGGGATAATAATGAAAAAAATAACAAACAACTGATTAAAACAAAAAGGATTAAATTTTTTTTTTTTAAAAACCGTAAAATAAAAGATATAATCTTTTTGTCAGCCCACACGATTATATCCGCAAAAAAGAGTGCTTTCTGATATTGTATCAATGTAGCCAAAGCAAAATATATTAATGCAATATTGTGAGGAGCACTCAAAAAAAATTTTTTTTCAAAAATTACAACAAATAAAATAGAACACAATAAGTAAAAATAACAAGTAAAAACAGAAAATAAAATAAAAGAAAAAACAGTATAAAACTAAATCTCTAAAGCGAGTAGCGAAATCAGACGTACTTACATAAACGGGAAATTTTTCCAGAATGATTTAAAGAATGATATTTTGCGGGTATAATCGTGTGGGCTCATGAAAAGATAATATCTTTTATTTACCGGTTTTTGTAAAAAAAAATTCATCCTTTTTATTTCTTTTTTTTTAAATTAGTTTTTTTTCATTATAATTCCCCCCTCCCTTTTTTTTTTTTTTTTTTTTTTTTTTTTTTTTTTTTTTTTTTTTTTTTTTTTTTTNATCTTCATTTTGAACTTATCTAATGAGTTCTGTTTACTTGCAGCTTATGTGCAATAAATGAAACTTATTGTTTTTCTTAACTTTCTTCATGTTTTCTTGTATTTATTTTGTTGTGTATATATATATATAAAATTTTCTCCTATTTTTTCAGTCTCCTATTACCTCAGCTTGTTTTGCTAAATATCATCCTAATCTAGTCATTGGTGGAACATATTCTGGTCAGATAGTGTTGTGGGATAATAGAAGTTATAAAAGAACTCCTGTCCAAAGAAGCCCCCTATCAGCTATTGCTCACACGGTAGGAATATGACTTCCTTTATTGAGTATTTAAGATTTTTTTTTTGTTAATGGTATAATTCTGCTTTATTAGTAACTCATATTAACTTAGATGACAAACTTTTAATATCACTTTGCTTTATTAAATTGTCTTCCTGTTTTAACCAGAGGAAACAAATCTCTACTAGAGTACCATGTCCAATGAGAATCCAATTTGCAATCATTTGTTTACAACTACACACAAAAAGTAGCGCAAAATAGAATTTATTGTTAGTCAGAACCATCAGTTTTGACTGACAATTTGGTGTTTGTTGACCGATTTGGTGTTTTAAACTGAGTTATGCTCTCTGCTTGATGGCAATACAAATTTCAATCATTTCTTGACAGCTACAAGCAAAATTTAGATTGCATTTAATCGCCAAATATCCTTTATTGATTGTTGATCGTAATTTTGACAATTTTCCACACAGTACTCAAAATTCAGTTAAAGTTCCATGGGGATAGAAATTCCAATTGTTTCTTAAATGGTGCAATCAAAACTTATTGCAAATTAGAATTTCAACCACCTCCCAACACGGTATCATGTTGTAACAAACATATAGGCACAATATTAAAAATTAAAATTTTAAATCTCCACCAAAACTTCAAATGTGATGTGCTCTGTATTTTTCATATTCTTTCCTGACAAAAGTAATCGCTTTTTGAATCATTCAGACTAAAAAAAAGAATTAAATTGTTACAAATATATAAGTTATAATGTCATATATATATCTGGAAAAAAAACTTCTATGCACCAAGATCGTAATTTATAAACCAGTAGAATATGAAACTAATGAAAAGTGGTTACAGAATGCTAAAAATTTAGATGCCTGCTACAAATATTTGTGACCTACATATCAGGGTGTAGTGGAATTATTGCTTTAAAATTATATTGTAATATTAAAATGTTTTGAATGTAGGCATATTAAGCATTTAAATTATAAATATGAAGGAAAAAGAAACAGCAGTGAAATAAAACTTTTATTTTAATTATAAAACAAATGAATTTTTTATTGATAAGTAATATTTTCATTGTTTGTCCTGCACTAAGAATTTTAGTACAGTAGGGAACCGATTATCCGGAACGATCGGGACCATCACTATTCCGGATAACTGATTTTTCCGGTTTCCTGAATCGCTAAAAAAAGCCGTTTTTTTATTGTTAAACCCAACAAAAAAAATTTTTTTTTTTTTTTGGAAATAATCTTAAGAAGAAAAAACGATGAAGGAATACACTAATGATTATTTCCAAAATGATAGTAAGGTAAACATCTTTCAAAAAAGAAAGAAAAATCCTAAAATCTTATGAGGAAAAAAGCATTTTTTAAAATAATGGCGGGAAAATTTATTGAATTTCGTTCCAGTTTTTTTATTTCCGGATAACGGGTTCTGTACTGTACTGTTATTCTGATATTAAATAGAAAGTGTAGTTCATTTTTGTTGTTCAACTTAATAGAAATGTGATAAAAATGTAAAAACCTTTAGTTTTTTTTTCAGATGTACTTTCACTGTATACTAAAAAAACTATTTTTGCTTTACAACTCCATCATTGGTTAGAATATTTAATATTCTTGCTTCCATAGTAGTTAATACTGCCAATTAATTCAATCCATGATTTAGCCATACTGCAATGTGTCACTGTACAGAGATTTCATCAATATAATTTGTTAATACAAATGATTTAAGAAACTACTTTAATCTTGCTTGTATACATTAAAGATAGATTTAGACTTTTCAACTAAAATATATTTCTTTTGTAAAATTAGCATCCTGTATATTCTATATGTATGGTTGGATCAGAAAATGCTCACAATCTAGTTACAATTTCTACTGATGGCAAATGTTGCACCTGGAGTGTCGACATGTTGTCATACCCTCAAGTATGTTTTAAAAGTTGTTGATTTTTTTTTTTTAAATTGCTTTATTTTATATGATACTAATTTCTTCTGCTTAATAGGATACAATAGAACTAAATCAGCAAAAACAATCAAGAACAGTAGCTGTTACATGCATGGCCTTTCCAAATGATGAATTTAACAACTTTGTTGTTGGAAGTGAAGATGGATTAGTATATTCAGGTAACTATGAATGCAAACTTTATTCAAAAAGTTGCATTTAATTAAATTCTGGTGACAGAAATAGCACAACACAGCGTTGAGTGCCACATGTTAATTTTGTTGACCTCACAGGCAAAAGAAAAAAAACGTTAAAGAAAAATGGTAATCTAACTTAATCTAAACATAAATTTTTTTTTTCCCTGTATTGACAGTGTCATTTAATCCTGTGTTTTGACACCAACAATGGTTCTTGTTTATAGACCCAAAATTATTGTGTATTCTTACTATAGTATGTTTTTGTGCCATTATTTATGCTTTATTCATGTTGCTTAGTTTTATTTATATGTTGCATAAAGTATAGCCCGTCTTCATTTTTATTAGTCAAATTTCATCTTTGAGGACTAAGTTTTGTTAACTTTCTTTTGAAGTGCAGTTTATTTATCATGTATTGCAATACTTAGACATTCTTCAATTTTAAAACTTAATAACCAACCAATCATAACATTTAATTACAAATATTTTAGTGTTTGCTGTACAATTAAATTTTATGATTTTTCCATAGTGTTGGAGATCAGTACAGAGGTTTTTGGGATTACCATTATTTTTATTTTGCAATGTAGTTTATTTCAATTTATAATATATTTAAATTTGACTGGTATACTCTCTTATAAACAGTTTCATTTGATTGTATTAACTGTATAATTGTATTTTATTTTTTAACTTTAAATTCATGCATATTTTCTGTTTTAGCTTGTCAAGTATATGTGCTTAGTATTATATATGCATAGAGAGAGGGATTGCATTTTTATTATTTACTTTTTTTAAAAAATTCAGCATAAACTTTTGATAAATAGTTGCCATTAATTAAAACGAAATAGATTTCTGTTCATCTTGTGTGTTTATCTTCATTATCTAAGTTATTTTAATTATGTATGTGTACAGCTTGTCGCCATGGAAGCAAAAGTGGAATTGTTGATTCATTTGAAAGTCATCAAGGGCCTGTCACTGCCATTAGCACTCATAAAAGTAGAGGATCTATGGAGTTCCCTGATTTATTCTTGACATCTTCATTTGATTGGACTGTAAAGCTATGGAATCTTAGGGTAATGTTTAATACTAAACGTATGTAGAAAGTAAGAAAATTTAGTTATCGTTCCAAAGAACCAGCAACTATAAAGAAAGCACTTATCTGTGCACATTTTCACTGATCTGCTGAAGTGTGTTTGAATGATTTTAAAAATTAATTTAAGTTGACGAAATTTAAGGGTGCCATCCCTTCTGCAGATGATCAAAATTGTGATGGCATGTCTTCGGATCATCCTCGGGGATGTTTCCCAGACCGTCGCCTATTGTGTAGCTCCAGTGCGATGTAAATGAACTACAACAACAACATTTATTTAAATTTTTCGAATGCATTCTTTTAATTTTTTCAACTTGCTTGATGTTTCATGAACTGTTTTTCTCACATCAGTAATAATACCCTGTACATTTTGTAACACTTTGCATAGTGGGTGCATTTTTCCACATTAATTTATGTATGTGTTTGATATAAAAAAGCTAAACTTTGTAAATCAAGGTCTGGTACTTTCATATAGTTATATATCTCTATATTAAGAAAAAAAACATTACTCAGGGTTCCAACGGTCCTTGAATTTTTTTGTTGCTAAATTTAGGTCCTTGAAAGTGCTTGAAAAACGTCTTAGGTCCTTGAATTTGTCCAATACTGCCGGTGGCCCTTTTTATAAAACACCCGCGGATCTTTCTTGTTCTTTCTGTTTTGTTCCCGAGCTCTCTCACGTGGTTTTTAACGCCACCGTTTCTAACCGGGCCTAGCGTCTTGGTGTCTGCCAAGCGCGCGGAGCACAGCAGACAATCAATGCGTTCGGGGCGAGACTCCACTTCATCTTCTGTCGCATATGCTTAAATCTTCTTTTTTCTTATCGGAACTGGAATATTCTCGAATTTCGTAACAATATGTACCTTGTAGTTTTCAATAAATTTGCCCTTTTACCATCCGCACTTGTCCTTACGTTTGCGTCATTTCAAAACTTTATTGTAAAGCCTATTCGCAAAGGCACGGCTTCGTATTTGTGTTATGTAGTTTAGACTAGTTGTGCCTGGGAAGTGCTATTTTAATCCCCAATGGATGGATAATCAAGCTTATAAAGAATGGATTTTATCGATGCCCGAAAAGAAGTTCAGAGCCAAGTGCCGATTATGCATGAAGGAGATCGATATCGCGAAAATGGAAGAATCTGCTCTGAAATCACACATGAAAGAAAGGTAAAACAAAAAAGCAGTCTCATGCCCTGAGTTCTCTTTTTCCAAAGACATCAACATCTAATTCATCTGGTGTAAATACTCCTTCAACATCGTGTGCCCCATGTGAAACAGAAACTTTAGTGGCCGAGGTAACATTGTCTTCTTATCTGGTCAAAAGGAATGTGCTTGATGCTGAAATTCTCTGGAGTCTGAAGTGCATCACTAGTAATTATTCATGTAACTCCTGTGAAGGGATTAGTAAATTGTTCTCCAAAATGTTTGCTGATAGCTGTATAGCGAGACAATTTTTTTGTAGTGCCACAAAGTGAGCCTATTTGGGCTCCTTTGGATTGGCACTATACTTCAAAGGGATTCTTATAAATGAGCTGAAGAATGTTGATTGCTACACTGTACTCTTTGATGAGACGTTAAATCAGTCTCTACAATCTAAGCAGATGGACATTATGGTAAGGAATTGATAATAAAGTTTGCACTAAGTATCTTACCTCCCAATTTATGGGTCATGGAACTGCAGAAAATATTTTGTCCTCTTTTTACAAATGCATGGATGATGGTTAAAAGCTCTCTAAAATACTTCAATTATCCATGGATGGACCCTATGTCAATTGGAAATTCTATTAGAAGCTTCAGTGTGAATTAAAAGAGAAATATTCCCACCAGGTCATATTCATTGGCAGTTGTGGATTACACATAACGAATAATGCTTTTAAACATGGTGAAAATGGGATATGTTCCTTCTAATTTTTATTTTCAGAAAGAATTGTTGCTGCATAACATTTAGAGAAGGTTGTGTAAATTATGGATGAATAATTTCAGAAACGATGTTTAATAGAGGAGAGGAGGGGGTTATGGAATAGTCATGGAATATGGAATACCTAAGATTTAGCTCTGTCTTTCATGCAGCCTTCACATGGAAATACACAGGATTAAAGGATTTCACCATTAACACCTCACTACCATTAGTTATAGATTGTGCTGAAAATGATTTTGTGAATTAATATGTAAAACCAGTAGGGTTGTTTTTAAAAAAAATATAAATTTTAGTCCATAATACATATACCTTCTTCTCTCTATATAGGCAAAGCATTTAGGTATTATATTTGAAATTAATTATTGCCACAATGAGCATTGTTGCTTCTAGTAAAGTAGAAGAGAATAATTTTTTAAATTGGTCTTAGATTAAGGTCCTTGAAAATTTTGTTGAGGTCCTTGAAAAGTCCTGGAATTTCAATCTCATCATAGAGTGGGAACCCTGTTACTGCTTTATAAGAAAATTTTAGGCAATTTCACCTCTCACTCTTCTAACTCAAAAACTATTTGACAAAAGTTGTGTGAATTTAGTGCATTTCTAGAGAAATGTTTTAAGAATATTCTGATATCAAATGGTATTTGATGTGATCAATAGTTGTTAATGGTTGAATTTTTTCTCCTATGTTATTCAGTTAACAAAAACTATTTGCAGATGAATTATAATTTTTTTTTATAGCTGTGTACTTTTTGTCTGAAAATGAGCTATATTTTAAACAAGTTTCAAATATTTTTTTTTAAAGTTATTAAGTAGTTTACATTAGACAGTTTTTCCATGTAAAAGAAAAACTTTCTAATTTCCTTTGTTCTAATTACTATAAATTAAATGTATTATTGCTAGCAACCGTAGATATAAGTATATAATGGAGATATATCTTTAATCTAATTATAATAGAAAAGCAATCGTAAGAAAAGTGCCCTTTTAGTCCCTTATTTTAACAATAAGTGAATTGTTTCATAGCAAGCAATTGCGGAGAGAGCCCCCTACTTTTGAAAAAAATAAAAACCTTTATATTCCATTAAAAAGTTTAGTATGTATATTGTAAGACTTGTTATTTATTATACAGCTAATATTTTTAGTGTTGGTTTCTCTGTTTATTCTCTGTCTGAGTGTGTAAGTCTTTGTTCCTGTTTCTATTTATGTAAAATAAATATATATTTAAATTAATTTTTTTTTTAAAGTAGACACTTCGGTTTTATAGTAAAATTATAAATTTTAAACTTGATATTAAATATTATTGCAAACTGCTGTGCTTTTTTTATTTTTAGAAAAGTCAACCTCTGTACTCATTTGAACACAATTCTGATTATGTGTTTGATGTCAGCTGGTCACCGGTGCATCCAGCATTATTTGCTTGTGTCGATGGTTTGGGTAATCTGGATCTTTGGAATTTAAATTGCGACTCTGAGGTATATAAACAATATTGCTTACTTTTAAGTTTTTTTTTATTATTATTATAATTTACACAAATTTATAGTGCTGTTCATGGGTTTTGATGCTTAATCAATTAACAATAGTCTTTAATTACTCGCATTAGTTATTTGTTTCTATCTGAGCTTTTAAATGCAATATATAATTATTTATGCAATTGTGTTCTTGGAATATTTTATAAATACTTGAAGATGTTCAAATATTATTTAAGCACCTTATGGCAGCTTGAGTTTGTGATTTGCTTATTTTTGTTGATAAGAGGGTATGAGCAATGCTTACACAAGGCATTAAAGTCCCCTTATTTTTAAAATTTTCTTAAATAGCAAAATGAAAAATGCAACAAAAATTGCAAGTGGAAACATTTTAAGTATGGAATAAAAGTGAATTCAGGGAAAGAAAAAATTTCTTTGAAGAGTTTTATTGGTAGAGATATGAACACAAAAGATTTCTAAAATATATTCTGCTCAAAATTTTATTAAATAAAACGTTTAATTTATTTTATTCACAGTTTCATCTATTTGAATTTATTCCTAAAACTAGATTACTAGAATAAATGTCAAAGTTAAAACAAAAACCAACGGGAGACTGTTGCAACTTTCGTAAGAAAGCATAGGAGGGGGTTTGTTATTTGCTTATTCATACTGATAAGAGGAGAGGGGCAGTCCAAAATTGCCAAAAATAGGCATCATGGGTCTGTCTAGGTTTTTCTGAGAGGTACCTATTTTGTGAAAATTTAGACATAATTTGTGAAAATTAAAAATTATATTAAAAAATCAACAAAAAATATGGATTTATCATTTCTGAAGGGATACAAAAATAAAATTTTAAGAAAAGTATTTTCTGAAACTACCGTTTTTTTAAAGTTGAATTTGTGAAGGTACCGCTAAACGGTGGTAAATTTGGCCAGGACAGACGGCTGGGCATATATAATTGTGATGCCACAATAGGCATTACATATTTCCTAGCTTTTAAAATTTCTTAAATTTATTTTTTAAATCATTCTTAATCGAGTCTTAATTAAATGAAACCAATTATTTAATTTTATAAAAAGCAAATATAAATATTTTATTAACACTCGATGTAACAGCTATCTTTTTAACTCATTAATTCACAGTCGCAACAAAATCTATTTATAACTGTTTATTCTTTCTTGCCACAAAAATGTTTCAGTTACACGGTTATATTAATTCTCACAGTTTTTTTGGCAATTAGCTTTTGCCAAATTATTTTCAAATTTAATATTGATTACAGGCGCTTGACTTTATTTCTGGCTATTTTATCTCTTCCCATGCTCCTGACTATCCGTTGGGAACAGTTCACTTTTAATTTTGAATGGAGACTTGGGGGCTTCGACCTCTCAGCCTCAACCGTTAAATTTTTATCTTTACAGAAATTCTTGATGTTAAGAGAATGATTCTCTTGATAACTCTGAGGGACTTCTTTCATTATTTCTAAATATGGCCATATTCTCTAAATACTGAATCAATTTTTCTCAAATGAATTTGCTCATTTTTCTAGGATAAATATCCCTCCTTCATAAGAAAATTAGGATGCATCTCATATGGCCAAAATATTCATGATACTAAAATGATGCTACCTCCACTAACCACCCCCATCATAAAAATATTTGAACACCCCCAAAATAAGTTTGTTTGTATATCACATTCTTATACATTAGTTTGACACCACTACTGTATTTAATGACATGCCAACATCTCTTAATTAAAAATATCATGTGTTAAAAAAATAAAAAAATTTACCTTCAATTAGTAATAATTGTAACTTGTTTAAGCTATATGTTATTTCTTTATTTATGTAATTGCAAGCATAAATAATGTGACTTAAATAAATGTCACAATGCATGAGCATATTTTACAAAAATAGTTAAAAATATTCTAGTTGTGTATGTGTTGCACATTTAGTCTGAATTTAAATATATTATATATTTAGTTGTTTTGCAGGAAAATTTTCATGGAAGTTTACTGTTTAGAATTTTTTTTAAAAAGTATAGTTTATATATTATTTAATTTGCATTTATTTATTCAAAAGCTGCCTACAGTTGGCGTTCAAATCGATGGATGCCCAGCATTAAACAGGGTATCGTGGACTCATTCTGGACAACATGTTGCAGTTGGTGATGCTTTAGGAAAAATTTGGCTGTATGATGTGGGAGAGGTAACTATTCCATTTCGGTGTATTTCGCTATTGTTTACAAACTGTTTTTCTATTTATGATTAAAATACAATTTTTTTTTAAAAAAGCCATAATGCTTTGTTGTTTATTAAATGGAAATTTTTATTTAAATAATTCATAATATTTTTTTTTTAAATTATCCTTAACTCAGTATTTAATTTTCTATTGCAAAAAAGAGTTTTGCATTATGCAAAAAAAAAGAGTGTTTAAAATAATTTCTTTTTATTAATAATGTTTAAAAGCTTTATATTGGGAAAAATGTCTCAGGTAATTTACCTTATTATATTATAAAAGTTACGTACTTAACTATTCCCTTTTTTTTTAACCAAGTTCAATTAAAAAAATTTTTTTTTGCTTTTTCTCTATTATCATTGTATGATTTTTGGTATTAATTTTGCAAAAACACATTCTCATTTACTCTATTATGATTTACAACACTTTTAAATTTTGTATTCAAAAGATATACACATTTAAATATTGTATTGTATAAAAACCATAAATCGTTGTTTGTATTGTAAGTAATGAGAGAAAACAAGATAGTTTTATTTAAGTTTGTTTTGAATGTTTAGCAATGATTGCTTTTAATTCTACACTACACCTTGAAATTTTTTAGGAATTTACTTATTTCGAATAAAACAACCATTTTTCAATATTTTTAAACCTTTAAATGAAATGATCATATTTAACGTACAACAGTTGCAAAACATTTCTGGGATAGATGTAATTACAAAACACAGATATTTGCCTAAGCTTATTCAAAACATCTCTTTTTAGCAACTATCAAATCCAAAGCCTGATGAATGGTCAAAGTTCACAGAAACTTTGGAAGAATTTCAAAATAATCAGCCATATTTCAATGGAGACGTTTTATCTTCTTCTCCAGCTCCTGTTACTTCTCTTCCTCAATCTCCTTACCTTCCAATGACTCCAGTCAGATGAATTGTTATGCCTTACATCTTCAGTTCCGTCCAAAAATCTATTTTCCTCATCACCCTTTGTTGAACTTGTTCTAAATTTATTTATTATGGTGAAAAGGAACCAATGCTTTTATATTTATTAAATACTTTTATATTGCAGTTTAAATTAAATTTTTGTCGGAATCTGCAGATTCCGAGGGGGAAACCTATGTGATAAAATAAGAGTAGAGCTTCTGATGCCTTATACTTCAATCCTGTGATTCTTTATTAAAAACATGATGTTTACTAAATTTTAATTGTTCTGAATTAAATATATTGTAAATAATTTACTGGTTTCTATGTATTTACACTTATTGTCTCTGTTGTCTCAGGATTTATTAAATGTGCTTCCAAAGCTTTATATTTGCATATTGTTTATTTCTACACAATGTTGTACTTTCTTCTGTCTGTAAGGTTTGCTTGTCCTGTTTAATAAATTATTTTATGTGTGATTGAGTTATCTTGAATAATTCCTTCAGCCATAATTTCAAATGGCAGGAGATTCTGGGCTCTGTTTACCCATATCCACTAAATATTCATAACCACAAATTTCAAAACCACACTTATTCACTTTATAAATTATGATATTCTATTTGGTTTGAGAAAAGAATAATTAAATTATAAAAGCAGAATTTTTCCCCAAAATGATAACAAGAAATTTAATAACCATAAATCCACTTTTCAAATTTTCATTAAAATTGGGTGAGATTTAAAACCATAAAAATTTGTAATTATTTAATGTTTTTGAATAAATTATATTGTAATTTAATTTGTTTAAATTGGATATTAATTTCATTTACCCCCTGAGGATTATTTACTTAAAAAGTCGTATTTTAACCTGCAGTCTTCTCCACATACCAAAACCAGGTTTTCCATGTTATTAGATAGGGAAATAGTGTAATCAGGGAGAAACACTATAATTGACAAGTATCAATTATGTTAAGAAATTAAAAAGTCTTTAAAGCATTTTACTTTAGCTTAGTTAACATAATTTGACTGGACTTGTCATTTTGACTACAATTTGTACACTGTAAACTTAATTGATAAATACATATTTTTAATTTTATAAGCTATCTTCTTAAAACTCAAGTTCAATATTGTTCCTGCTGTTTTTCCGAACAAAATTTTGTGGCTTCAATTATAACCTTATTTATAAAATTAAATGAATATGCATTTGTAAGATCATCATTGCATCAAAGATTAGATTCTATATACAATAAAGAACACATTATGTCAAAGTATCTAATTAACAAAGACAGTTGATCATTAGTGTACTGATACAGAATGAAAAATGAATTTTTAGCTTCATATTCTGTATCTTGACATTGATAAAACTCTTTTAACTTCAAAGCTACATATGAGATGTCACACTGTTCTGTTCTTTTATAAATTAGGAACCTGCATGCTTCGGGCAATCGCAGAATGTTGATTATTTTGAATAGTTTATATCTTGAAACTCCCTAAAATCAATTCAGAATTTAAAAAACTGACCCGAATATTAAAAAAAACTTAACTTAAAATTAGCCCAAAACGAAACTAACATCACGTGACACAAAATGAGGCGTGGTTTGCTATGACGACAGGATACAGTATCTCAGCGAACGGGAGGAGTTAAACCAAAGCTTCCTATCTAAAAATGTGTTACAAAGGCCTTTTAATTTGAACCGCATTTTTTAAAAATTGTTTTTCTTTCATGCTTATATTATTTATATATAGTTTAAATATATATGTAGTGTATATCAGTTGCATCCTCCTCCTTGAGAAAATTTTTGTGAGCACCTTTCAGCATAATGAAATAAAATTGAGGAATGAAAAAATAAATATCGAAACTACATTTTTTTTAACAACTTTTGAAATAAATTCATTTTTATTTATTTATACTGATTCATTTTTATTTATATTTGTCTATACATAAAAGTCTGAACTGTTTTGAAAGTTTTTTATTTAATAAGTTGATCCCAATTAGAGGGAATGGAATGAATGGTATATGACCTGGAATTATAAGTTTTTAGGTAAATAAAATGTTTTAAAAAATTCTTTTTTATTATTAACTTCTAAAATATTTGATTAAATTTTTTTTGAAGAAATGTAAATAATGCTAAACACCTATCATTTTTTATTTTAACTTTCATAATTTTTTCTTCCAAATAAAATTATTTTTTAACTTTAAAAAAAAGAACCTGTACACAACTGTTCTGTCAGAATAAAATTCTTTCATTTTAAAGAATAAAGAAAAAAAGAAAGAAAGTGATCTGAACAGCATTTCAAAAACATTTTAAAATTCAGTATAATGAATTATTCATTCAGAGAAGCTTATCAATCAGAGAAACAATCTTATAGAATTAAATTATAATTAAGTAAGTTACTGTAAAATGGTCTTAGCAACAGTATAATGCAGTAGTTGCAGACAATTTGCGAGTATTTTTTTTCATCGCGTTTGATGGCTTTGCACCAAATTTGTCTTTTTTCATCTTTTGGTACACTAAAAAATAATTTATTTGGCGTGTTTAATGTAGAACTATTGCACATGATACAATGCAACACTTGTAGTTTTTGCTTGGCGCTAATTTTTAAAATTTATACTCGGAGCGGCATATGCTTTCACCGTCCGTTTCACATGATGGGAGTTGTGGTTGTACTGTATCGTGACGTCATCAGAGCAGATGGGAAACCTAGCAGCGATTTAGGGGGCGGGGCTAATCGAGCGATTTCAACTATTAATAACAAAATAACTAGTTATCGCACCGGTCTTAAATTGGTGTCTATCTTTATAAAATGGCATGATGTTTCATTTTAAAACATAAAAAAAAAGCATGCAGGTTCCTCATTGCGCTCTGCTTTATTTTCTATAATAACCGGCATTGAACACCCGACATGATTCTGAGTTTGTGACTATCAATGCTCAACTCAATGGCCTCGTAATTTTGAACCCAACCCAGAAGAAAAAGGAACTTCTGGATCAAGTACTAGGACATACTAGCCTTTATGGAGGTTTTTTTTAATGGATCTAAACCACATTTATGTTACATGGAGAGGAAAACCTTCCACACTTAGCCAACGGCAAGGGGGTTCTAACCCATGATCAGTCTACCACTTGGGATATTTTATGTCAGCATTGTCGTCTGTTTGAGCCCCGAAGTAGAATTTTTATGAACCAGCTAGTGCTAAGATTTGAACCTGGCTCACCTCATTGGGAGGCGAACACTCTAACCCTGACCCACTGCAGCTCTGCATTATTATAACAATCCAAAGATGAGTTAGAAAGTTTTCTTTGACTTACAAAACAAAACAAAAATCCCATGGATTTAAATTTCTGTACATTAGTTTGATAAAATATTTATTCACTTAGCAAATTTGTTTAAATGTGTGATAATTAGCTTTAAAAATTATGTCCAAACAAGGACAATTATTATTAAACAAAGCTTAAAAAAAGAACTTTAGTTCAAAAAAAAAATATTTAAATCTTCAAATTTATAATATTTTTTACGTTACTTATTGTAAGTTTTAGAGAAATGCTCCATGAAATGGGGTTTTTAATTTGGTTAAATTTTAAACTCATTTTTCTGTATTTTCCCATTTTTTTTAAACAAAAAAAAAAAGTTTAGGATCCTAATATTAAAATTAATATGATCAATTTTATAATAGAAGTTTGAATGTTCCTATAACTTTAATAAGGTTATAATTCAATAGACTGCTGCTAGGGAAAAAAAATATGAAGAAAAAAAAAAAAAAAGAACCACCATTCATAACTAAATGCAATTTTTTCAAACTTAGAATGGTTTGAATCTCACCTAAAGGAAAATGGTGATTAAACATATTAACAACAATAAAGTTTAATATTCAATTGGGAATACTATTTACAAAATAGAGTGAAATACAATCAACACCTGAAGGCTAGAATGATAACTAAAAATCATAACATTCATATGTACAATTTTTTTGAAATTGAGGGACCAAGTGCAAAAATCGGGTAAGTCTAAATTCTCCAAAACAATAATTACAATAATAATGCATTCTTGGTTGTATATCTTTTTAAAGTGTAAGAGCCAGGCACAAATGTAACACCAATCCTGGAGTGCAAGTTGAATAGTGTAGCAAAAACTTACCGATTTTTTTTTTTTTAAATTTTATTAAGCTCTTGTCAATGATTTTTTGGATCAATACTCCCTTTTCTTGCATCAAGTCCCTCAAAAAGTTGAACTAAAGAAATTTTTAGTCCTGATGGAAAATGCTTTAGGTTATGTTGTAGTTGTTGCTTCATTTTGATTATTAATTTGTGCTGCAGAAGGTGCCGTTGGTCTTGTACCATTCACATATGGTGGCTGTAAAAAAAAAAATTAGAAGGATATCATAAAATAATAACTATATTTTTTTAACTAAACGAACTTAAGAAATGTATTAAATAGTTCATTTTTAAAAAAACTATTAAATTTTACTTATAAACCGATTTGTGGTAACGCAACTCACGTCCATAGTTGAAAATTAATGACTCCATTATTATGTACTGCACTGGTTTCTCTTAGGGATGTAACGAATATTCGCCCCTTTTGCCGAATATTCTGCCTAGCCGATTACTGAAGTTATTCGGCTGAATAATTAAGTTATTCGGCCGAATAATTAAGTTATTCGGCTGAATATGAATATTATTAGATATTTAGTTGAATAAATTCATAATAATAAAGAAAGATATTTTTTTAAATGTGCTTTTAAATATATTTAATCATGAATATTGCAGAGTTACATTTCATTGCATTAATTATTAGAAAATCTAACATTTACTCAATTTAGTTGTATAATACATAAGTGTATTTAATAATGTTACGTAAATAAAAACGTTTACTTGTTTCAAATTTATCATCATATGTATTTAAACAAGCATTGGAATCTTTTACATTAAAATACAAATATATATAGTTTGTTAAATAGAAGTGTGAATACTATCTGAATCGGCAATTAAAATTTATTTGTGATTCCCTTAATAATATCTATTTATCAATAATATGCACTAGAAATATATGATTATATAATTATTTATTATAAATGTAAAACATTAATTATCCATTTAATGGATCTCTTGATACTTAGAAAAACAAGCTACTTGAGATATATGGTTTACAGGTATAAAAAAATCATTTATCATTGTAAAGTCTAAAATTATGATGCAAGAACAATATTTTTTCAGCATTTATAGGAAGAAGTCTGTTTCGTTTGGTTTCATATATATTATTAGCTTCAGAAAATAAACGCTCACTGTATACTGTACTTGCAAGAGCAAAAAATACATCAAGCTGTTAAATTTTTTTTTAAATATAGAAAGTTTAAAAAAGCAAATTTGTTAATATTTATTTCATATTTTATTTAAAATTTGAAAATTATTTAATTACAAAATTAAAATTTCAAAAGTGAAACTTTTTAAAAAGTTCTTAATTTTCTGGGTTTTAATAATTTTTCTGACAAAAAAGAAAGTTAAGAATACATTTAACAGTAGTAATGAGTTTTTATTTTAAATAAAATAGCATATAAATTACAAGTATAACTATAACTAAAATATGCTATCATTAATTATTTAGATTTATAAAAGCCATATTGCCTTGTTATTGGCATCAAGATATTTAAATTATTACAAAAAATAAATCAAGTTGTTAAAAAAAATTTTAAATATACAAAGATTAAAAAAGCAATTTTGTTAATATTTATTTCATTTTTAATTTAAAATTTGAAAATTACTTTAATTACAAAATTACAATCAAAAGAGAAATTTTTAAAAAGTAAGTATTCAGCCATCGAATATTCGGCCCCATCACTATTCGTTACATCACTAATTCAACCACGTTCTTAGAAAACTCAATATTTTCTTACCAAGTTAAAAAGTTTGTTATGTTTACATCCATCGATATATCTATACCACTATTTGCAACAAAAACATGCTGAATCCTAAGGACAGCCTAACTATTTCTCATGCAAATATTTCGATCAGAATTAACATCCGCAAAAGCAGAAGACAATTTTTTATAGTTTTTTCATTCAGCACTTCCATCTGTTGACGAACTTCACAACTAATTTCATAATTTATGAGTATAATATTTTTTTAAGAGCTGAATGTAGTAAACTATATATTTCCACCTACTTGTATTATTTATTTTTTAATTCTTCTGCCTTTTTTGAGCAAAAAAAAATATTTTTCTTTAATAAAAGAATTAATTCTGATGAACATAAATGCAACAAAAGTATATCTTACTATCTCTGTAGCAGCAGCAGCGATTCCAAATATAGCTGCATAATTAGGTGTGGGGTTTGGCGATGTAAGGGCATATGGATGATGGGCAAATTTGTCTAATGAATTATCTCCAATTGGAGTCCTGCCATTAGATTGTAGCATTACACCAATCTGTGAAGAAAAGAAAAAAAACTATCCAAATATGCGAGAAATAATTGTATTATGATTTAATACAGCTATTTATTATATTAAATAATGTAATTAAAATATTTTTGTACAAAAAAAAAGAAATCTAAAAATTCATTTATCAACTATGGATTTTAGAACAAGTAGTGATTTAAGTAATTTGTGACCACTTTCAAAAGGACACTATAATGCAGGAGACAAGTTAAGACAAATTCTTTTTTACCTGCCTAAATAATTTAAAATATAGAAAAACTAAGTTTAGGTAGACCTAAAGTAATCTATTAAAGTTTCAAATACTAAAAAATTGTTTTCAAAATGTAAACAAATGATTGCAGTAACTCGCAGTGGAAAAGTATTCCCAAAATAAATTATTTGCAGTGTGATATTTTGAAAATATTTTTTCGGCGTTAGAAACTTCAGGGTTTACTCTCGTTCATGGTCTTACCTGAACTCAATTTTCTTTCATTTTTAAAATAATATTAACTTTTATATATCAATGGTGGGGAAACATAATTTGCCAGGAAAAGTGTTACCAGTATAGTGTCTTCTAATGCAGCTATACCCAAATTTTTTTCAGCTATGGAACCCTAAATAATCAACCTTCTTTCGGCTGAATTTCGACTCTACAAAAAAAGTATATTTAGATAATTGTGAACTTTATAACCTACAGAAGACTATTTTTAAAATATCTAAGATTTGTCATTGTTATGTTATTAAGAATCTTAAATTAGGATTATAGATAATCGTCCAACAACTAAATTTGCAGTCATTATGCTACATCTAATCCAGTTATAAATTTATTTTTGGAGCATGAATGAAGATGACTAAAATAAGACGAATCATGGTTTATTTCGAGATTAAAACTTAAAAGAACTGCTATAAAAGTTGAAAATGGTTATTAAGGAAACTTATCCCTTTACTAAAAAACTTAGTTATTTTATTTTGATTTGAAAAACAGGGGAAACAGTATAAGAAATACTACAATACAATATTTTATAAAGGTTTGTCCTTTGCATAATTTGTTCAGAACATTGTTTCTAGAAATATTATATTCTCTTTTAAAAAATGCCATTTCATAATCTTTGACAAAAATTGAAAAAAAAATCATTAAGACAATCGAGAAATTAAATAAATCAGGAATTATATAAGTTCATTTTAAATCCTTTTCCAATCTCCAAGAAAGCAGACACTAGCTTGCAATTTACATCATAAGTTTTGCTAGAACTCTCTCTTTCACTGGAGTACGTTGATCCAAAGCTTTTAGAACAATTTTTGCATACTAATTCTAATTTTTTAGCAAAACCAAAATTTGTATGTTCTTCAACAGTAAGAGCATTTTTGCCACATTTATTACAATTGATATTCTTCATAAGAGAAGACCAGCTGTGCTGACGATGTTATAATTAGTTACCTCAACGTTAGGATCTCTAACAGGTACATTTTCATTATTAGAATCTAATAATCCTATAGCTGTGGTTGATTCAGATGATGTAGCTGTATTTATATCGTTTACTGTATCACTATTAGAATTATTTTTCCCCCATCGTTTTTTAGCATTCAACGATGAGGCGCGTCGCCGTTTAGTCATTCTCCCCTTGGGTTTTCTCCACCTTGAACTAATCAAATACATGATAACAGAAATAAGTAGTTTAAAATAAGTACGAAACTTAATCCACTTTCAAAATAATCTAAAAAAGTTCAAAAAAGAACTCCCAAAAATATCTTTAGAAAGAAAAAATTGAAAATTAACACAGAACAACGCATAAAAAACAAGGCAAAGAAAAGCAAACAAATATTTTGTTCTATAATCAATTAATCAAATTCAAAATCTATTGCCAACAGTAATCAAAAAAATATATGTAAAATCTTGGCAAGCAAAGAGCACGGGGCGAGCTCATATGATCAGAAAGTCGTTTCCCCAATCGTGGTTGCCGGGAGAAAAGTGTCGAACCAAGCAGACTCCTCAATTCTGCTTTTAACATGTAAAGTCTATGGCGGGCTTGTCATACTTTGAATCGATTTTTCTTGTGTAGGAATCGGAGTGATCAATTAAAAAAAAAATAATAATAATTTTTTCAATCTTTCCTGTTGTTGTTGTTAATTTGCGTCGCACTAGAGCTGCACAATGGGCTATTGGCGACGGTCTGGGAAACATCCCGGAGGATGATCCGAAGGCATGCCATCACAATTTTGATCCTCTGCGGAGGGGATGGCACGCTTCAGTAGCCCGACGACCTGCGTGCGAAGTCCAGCACTTTACGGTAGCACAGTTTAACGAAGACCAATACCGCACACCCTCGGTCCCTACGCAGACTGATCCAAGTGGTCACCCACCCGCACACTGACCGTAGCCAGTGATGCTTGACTTCGGTGATCTGCTGGGAACCGTGTCTTAACGATCAATCCACTGCGGGACTCTTGACAAAAACAAAATACAATTCATGAATTTTACGAACTTTAGATACATTCCTACTGAATGAGGTTTGATCATTCTACTTTAAATGGACCAATAAAATTCTCAAATTCTTAATGTATATTTTACATGAATTTTCGTTATGTACCACGAAAATGTAGGTCAATTTTTTTTATCCTTTATTAATTTTTGTAATATTGCCTTTGAAATTCAAGTCACTTTCTACCTTTGAGTAAGGGAGGAAGGCAACTTCCACCCCCAAGTTCATTCTCCAAAAGACGATTGAGGTCTAATATACTCTGTAGGTGGTCTTGCTCCCTCCTTGCCAAATACTTTACTTTGTTCAACTCTTTTTGAAAATCTTTTTCTCTCTCTGTCCTTTTGAAGAAATGATATGGAAAGCGTTTTAAAAACCGATAGCTTACTTTTTATTTATAAGCTTGTAATTTATTATGAAAATTATATTCGCTAATAATTCGTTCATTCTATATGCATTTTATTTACTTAGTAGTAATAGTTTTCTTGTTTTTATTCATTTTGAGAGTGGAATTTATTTTTTAAATACATTATTCCCCTTTTTTAAAAAACTTTTTCCCTTGTTTTTTAAAGATGTTTCAAAATTAAAACATTTAGCTTCCGAATCAAGTGAGATTAATTCAAATCGAGACAATGACGTAAAGATCTTCCAATATACTATAGGCATCATAAAACTGCAGTTTTCCTTTTTTTTTAAAAAATATATCGTACACTCATTTGTAAGTTTAAAAAAACATATACATTAAAAAAATTGAAAAGGTTGCAATTTTTCCATTCCATAAATAATTTTAATTACTCCAACAGCTGGGATAGTTTGTTTCTCCACGGTAAGGGAAAAAAAATAGCTAGTACACAAGACCACACATCATCCAAACATGAACAAGCACTTAGCCCTGTTTTTAGGGCTTTAATGTAAATACACAAGAACACTAAAGTATTATGAAACTTTTATTTAAATCAGTAAACGAAGAAAAATATGAAAATATGCGCATGTATTGTAAAATTCTTTTTTTAAAAAAAAGGAAGTAAAAGAACAGTGGACATAATTAATATTCACGAGAGAAAAATACAAACGGTATCAAAATATAATTAATCGATGCTAAGGAAAGCAACACTGAAAATATTGAAACTAGTTTGATTGCCAGATGAAATAGAAAGAATGAGAAATGTGATTATTATAAACACCACAAAATTTCATCACGATAAATTAAAAAATAAAAATAAGTTTTAATACTTAGAGTTATGCTTCGCCTTGTTACTTCAGACAGTCAAACTGGTTTTGATGTTTTCAGTCCTGATTCCTTAGTTGATTCTCTAGATTTTGAAACTATTAGTTTTTTTTAATTGCTTTAATATTAATCTGTAATTCCTAATTAATACACTTTTTAAAACTTTTTTTCGCAATATTCTAAAAATATATATTAAGAGTAGTAATTATGCAATATCTTATGCATTTTATAACGAGAAATTTTTCGAATTCATATTAAAAATGTGTAATGCAATTTTTATTCACAATTTTTCGCTCTTTTATATCGATAGAACAAAGTATGTCATTAATGTGTTATTTTAATTTCTCTTCCCTGACCCTCCTTTGCCCTTCATGGAGAAGAGTTTTCTGAGTAGAAATTTCTGCACTGCAAACTTTAATTAGTGTAGTTATAGTTAATTAAAGTATTAAAAAACTAACCCGCATTAGCATTACATGGAGAGGAAAAAAGCGAAAACCTCCCAGGGTTAGCCAGCATGAATATATCTTCTAGATAACCATAATTTTCTGTATTTTTGTGTTTAATAAAATTTTGTAAAGTAAACTTGTCTCAATCTGTTGTTATGTTGTAAGTTTTAATGAAAATTAATAAATGCCTTTTCTTTCAAAAATTTCGGTATCGTACTTTTTCATAAATTAATTTCGATTATTTTGATAAATCTTTATATTAATTACAGTGAGCAGCTTCACAAATCTATGTATTAAAATGTAACATAGAATTGTTTTATTTTGTTGTTTTTAATAATCCATCGAAATGATCTATTAGAAAAATAAATTTAAACTGTCACTTCAGCTTATTAGTCGAAAATGTTATAATTTATTTCTACGACAGAAATGATGGTATTTTTTATGAACCCTCAAAACTGAAATGAAAGAGTTACATCAATTTTCTTATAATTTTACTTCTACGTTGAGAAAATTATAAAGCTTATCAAAGATAGTTTTCAAGGAACTTCTTAGAAATAAGTTATACTTATGTAAGTTATTTATTTGTTCTTTTATTTACGGCATTTACAAATAGAATGCGTTTATTATATACCCACTTTTACCATCATTCTTTATTACTATTATTATGGTTATAATAATTTTAAGTTAAAGGCTTAAAATTAAAAATGAAGTTCCTTTATTATATAAAGTAACCACAAGATATTACTTGATAAAAATTATTTGATAAAATATAAATACCGTTTAACAACCAAAAGCTGATAAATAAAATATATTCGCTTTTTAATAAATAAGTTATATTTTCCTTTATTCCTTTAAAATAAAACTTCATAAAACTGCGCTCTCAAAATATGTAGTTTAATGAATTTATACTAAATAACTGCTTTAGATCAATAAGGAATTTTTTTTTGTATTATTGCTAAATAATATCTTTGGCGATAAGTTTTTAAAGTAACTATAATTAAGTAGAAATAATGTAAGTAAAAATGATGAATATGAGTTTGTGGGTTAAGTTTTAAATGTATCCGAGCTAAATTATTAGAATAAGTTAAGTGATATAATCGGAAACTAGATCTGTCTTAATATGATTTAAAATTTTGTGATCATTGAATCGAATAATTTTTAGTTTTGATGTTTCAATTTGTTTGTGACAAATAACAAATATTCCCGGTGTTTATTTTTTAAGATCAAATCATAATTCCAGTTCGGAGTTATTTATACAATAATAAATGTAGTTAGCAAAAGTAATAATTAAAATGAAGTGAGTTTCTAGTGAAGGTTAATTTAGTTCATTCAAATTGCGAAATTCAAATATTTAAGTCTAAATCAAATTTACACAGTAAGCAACCATATTCGCTTAAACAATGGATTAAATGTCAACATAGTTTTTTAAAGTGGTAGAATTTAATTAGTTTCAAAACGGTGTAACAATCTTTAAAAAAAATTTAAAAAATTAATCGGATTATGAATTGACATTCTATATCATTAACTTGTTTTTTAACTTTTAATTCATATTTTCCTCATTAATTACATTGTATTTAACACACTTACATGCTTTTATACGTATTGCAATAATATTTTTATGGTCCTGAATTACAAGCTTATCGTAGTTGGTATATTTAAAAAAAGTAAATAAATAAAATTTGCAACCTGGGAGGGGAAAAAAATTCTATACGCAGATCAACGAATGTAGTATTAGGATTCAGAGTGCATACTGATTCGCAAAATGAAAACATGTATAATAAATAATAAATCCTATCTTCATAAGAATATTTAAGAAAATTACTGATTTTTCTGTATTGATATATTACTTAATTTTTGTAATGTTAACTCTGTTTGTTAAGTCTTCAACAGAACAAAACTTTAAAAAAATATTTAGCTTCAGTAACTGCATTAAAATTACACGACGCGCATTGTGAAAAAGTGTCAGCTGATCGACATCTGATGTCTTCCTACACCACTGCCTCAATCTGGCACATTATTTTATCTTCAAGTTGGGATAATAAATTTTAAAAATAAACACATTAAATAATAGCTGAAAAAGTATAGGTTAACACTTTTTACATTGATATGTGTTTACAACTTAAATTGTATTGCTGAAGAAATAAAGTTGTATGCAACTTATAAAGAGCCATTACTTGACTGCATATTAGAATTACTTATTTCCTAATATACTCTAGTATTAAATGGCATGCAACGATTCTTGGATGCCCGGGGCAAATAACACGATTCTGGGTCCCCTAAAAGAGGAGGGTAATTACTGCAGAAGGTAAAATAAAAAGTAATTTATTTTTAAAAAAAAGGGAGGGAGACACAAATTGGAAAGAAATATATAAATCCATATTTTAAAATCCTTTCTATGTAATGCCAGTGAAAATTATTTTAGGTTAAAAACCTAATTATTTCCAACCTTAAATTTTTAAAGGCAAAGAATAGTTAAATTTTAATGATCTAAAATGAAATGTGTGATTAAATTTGTATAGTAAAACAGTTTCTTATTGATGGATTTGTTCTAGAATCATATTTTTGCTTCGTAAAATATTTTGTTTGAATAACTATTTATCCATTAAAAAATGCCGTTCTAATAAAAATAACAGTAAAACTTTAGTGTTCTTAGTCATCAATTAAATCTTCTTTTAACTAAATATCTGGGACCATGACCCTCTTGTTGGCCACGCTATTAACGGCTATTACAATAGATAAAATACTCAAAACACTGTACTGGTGTTATAACAGTGAAAAATACGTACTTGAGATGTTCTCACGTGATAAGGAAAGTTCTTGTTTGCTTTTGCGGGTCTTGTCAAAACCTGAAAATAAATTTTTAAAAATTAAAGTTTCAGAAAAAACAATGCATATTAAAACTTATATTTTTCAGATATGATTTGACTGTCAACGTTTTTCTAGCACTGCACTAATATACAACGCTCTGAGATTCATCCTTGTGGATGATTCTAAGACTGTTCCGGAGCATGGGCTTGAATTACTATGATTTAGATCTAAGAGGAAATGGTGGTAGTAATTACATTGCCACCGCAGCATGCTCCTCAACTGCGCGTAGACTTTTGTAATTGTCGGGAACGTTATATTTTATTTTATATCCGTCGTTGAGCAGCCGACCCAATTTTGGGTTTACGACTACTAATGTTCAACTCCGTAGCCTTGTAATTTCGAACCAATCCAAAAGACAAGGAAACTCCTGGATCAGTACCCCCAGAGGTATTGATTTACTATGGGAACATGGAGGACTTTGCGACTCGACAGATTTAACGTGCATCAGTCACCATTTACTACACGGGAAGTTTTCGGCCGACCTGGGAGCGAACTCACGAACTCTTGGGCATGGGCCCAGTGTCCTACCAACCAGACTATCCAGCCCCTCAGGAACGTTATAGTGGAGTGAATTTTCTAAGACACTGTCATAAGGAAATCCCGCCTTTGAATCAAAGCCCTTCTCTAGCCGTGGTAAGCTTTGGCTGGGCATATTATATATATATATATAATATGCCCAACCAAAAACTCATCAAAACCCAACTAAAAGCCTCAATTAACCAATATCGCATTATTATCTTTAATCTTTTTATTGATAGTTAAAAAAAAAGTTTATTTTATAAAGTATTAAAATTTTTAACCATAATTATCTTGAATAAGTTATCATGCTAAAACCTTTGGAATGTAGAAAAGCTTTTTAAAAGAGTTTCAAAATATTCATTGCTAATTTTTAACTAAAAAAATTATCAATAATTATAAATTTTAATCTTAAGCAGAGACAAACGTAAAACATAACCCCTTATAATATTATTTATTAAATAATGAATGGTATTATTAAATTTTATTAAAAAAATAGTTCTTAAATATATATGGAAGTTATATGAGTATTTTCTCATCCTTACAAAGAAAACGAAGTGAGCTGATATTGAAATGAAAAGTTCCACAGTGTTGAGAAGTTTCTCTCGAACCCACTTTGGCACAACAAAAGTTGAAATCAGAATAACGACTGGAGCTGAGAGGAACCTAGAAAGAAAACAAACAGTTTTACATATTAAAAAAGTAGTCTTTAAACGAGTATACACTCTATAACAAAAAAATCGACGCACCAAGAACGCACTAAGACGAGCAAAATCGACGCTCGATCAGGCTGGAATGATGCCGACTGGGGACGTATAGTCTTTAGCGACGAATTCCGCTTTCAACTGTCTCCTGACGATCATCGAAGACGTGTTTGGAGACGCACAGGGCAGAGGGGCGGATCCTGCCTTCACTAGTGCCCTCCACACCGGCCCTCAACAAGGCATTATGGTCTGGGGTGCCATTTCCTTTGACAGCCGGACCCCTTTGGTCGTCATTAGAGGCACACTTACTGCACTGCGGTACGTCGACGACATCCTAAGACCTGTTTTGTTACCGTTCTTTTTGCAGCACCCTGGGCTGGTTTTTCAGCAGGACAATGCCAGACCACATCACGTGTTGCTATGAACTGTCTGCAAGCTTGTCAAACTCTTCCTTGGCCTGCCAGATTACCAGATCTCTCTCCCANGTACGTCGACGACATCCTAAGACCTGTTTTGCTACCGTTCCTTTTGCAGCACCCTGGGCTGGTTTTTCAGCAGGACAATACCAGACCACAGTACGTGTTGCTATGAACTGTCTGCTAGTTTGTCAAACTCTTCCTTGGCCTGCCAGATCACCAGATCTCTCTCCCATCGAGCATGTCTGGGTTATGATGGGAAGGCGATTGCATCTGGCACGGAATGTTGATGACCTCGTTCAACAATTGGATCGAATTTGGCAGGAAGTACCGCAAGTGACAATCCGGGAGCTTTATCGGTCTATGCCACGCCGTGTGGCAGCTTGTATACAGGCTAGAGGCAGGTCAACACCTTATTGAACTTGTTACTGTAACTCTGTAATAAATTATTCAATTGTTCTGAAATTTTAATCATTTACTATTCTGTACATTGTCTTCCTATCCACCAATTTTCGTTTCCATCGGACAACTCCTTTTTGGTGCGTCGATTTTTTTCTTATAGAGTGTATTTATATGCTTAAAAAATGTAAAGTACTACGTGTAATTCAATTGAAGCCTCTAATAACAGAATGGAGATTGCGTTTTGCAATTATTTGTTGAAAAGGGAAATAAAGAATGTAAAAAATATTTACATAAAAATCTAAAATCCCTAACAAAAGAATGCTTCAACTTTTTGAGTTGCGAAACTAATGCCAGTTAGTGAAAAAAATTAAATAAAAATTCTGCAGGAATGTTGCGTTATGCTTTTTTTGGGGGGGAAGGGAAGAGAAGATGTGTCAAGAGAAAGAGAAGGGTGTTCAAAATCTCCAAAAATATTCTTGCGTATTACTTTGAGTGCTTTCTTTCTCCTTGAAAAAAAACCCGTATACATACGATAATAATTAGAAAACAATAAATTTTGTGACAATAATAATTTAAAGACATATTTTTTAATAACTATTCTTAGCCATTTATATCTAATAAATATTTGAAATCACGTAAACTTCCCATTCGATTGAAAATATTTTCATTTTCTTTGTTTTGTATGTTAAAACTATTTTTGGAAATAATTTAGGAACCATCAAATCTGTGATGTTTAAGCATGCTAAATTAGTTTAAACTAGTTTACCTTATTACCTTACCTTATTTATTTATTTATTCATGCTATTTATTTTTGATAGAATTATCTCACATTCGCGTAACACAATAAAAAATTTCAGGATTATCCCGACGGCAAGGGGATTCTAACTTAATCCGGGACCATTGAGGATTGATCCGTCAACCATTGAGAATATTTTATGTCATCACTGTGATCGGCACGAGCAGGGAACAAAATTCGTAACGATCAGCTATAGTTGGGAATCGAACTTCATTGGGAGGCAAACGCTCTATCCCTGTCTAAAAATGTCTTTATTTTTTTCCACCTTTATGTATTTAATCTGCTATCTTAGACAAAACCACCGCCTTTATCAGCGTGGTGCGTTTAACCTAACACAAATTATTTATACTACTATAAAAATTTAATTTGGGTACTTTTTCGACAATGTATTTTAAATCTGTGACGTAAGGATAAATACAATTGAAATCGAAATTTTAATTCAATTCGTCTGAACATTGCGCTTAAATTAACAACAATCGCTTTAATTTTAGCCTTTGATTATGTTTACAAAATATTAAACACAGTGTGTAGCGCTGCCTCTCAAGACTGTTAGAGAATTAGTGTCATGCAAACATTCCTTTCGATTACAAAATGTTAGAAATTTAAAATTTTTGCTTACCATATGGAATAGAGTAAGAATAGCTTAGTGTAGAAGTTTGATTTCTCGGGATAGTGTATCATTGTAAAAATGACAGCATACACAAACCAAGCCCAACCAACTAAGCGTAATCCAATAATGCCATAACCAGCTGGACTTTCATAAATGTATAAAACCTTTCCTGGGTCAAAGAACTGGAAAGAAAAATTATTGAGAGCAATTTATTTAAGTTAAAAAAACTAGACATACTGTATTAAGTTTTAACACTATAACGGGATGTCTCACAAATAACCGATAATTTTAAAAATCAAGTCCAAAAGAGAAAAAAGATAGAATTTTTTTTTTTTTTTAATTCTGTGAAGAGAAAACGGGTAATGTCACTGAGTTTTAGAATTAGTTGAAGATTTGTCAACTAGAGCCTTTAGCAATTTCAGCGGGATGTGGTATAAAGACATTATTAACAGATGTCCAAACAAGCAGTTTCGTTGAAATTAACGGAAGTATAGTTTTCCAGTCAGAAGAGCCATCTCTTGACGAACTTTGTGACTCATTTTAAAGTTTGTTCAGACATAACTGATTTCCTAAACAACTGATTAACATTTTTACCTTCTTTTATTTTTCACTAAATGATTTTTCAACCGATATAATTTTTTGTCTAAACAACATCATTGCATTATTCTTTAACTTATTTAGAACAGAAAAATTGTAAAAAAGATTTTTTTCCTGCCACTATACGACAGATTGATTATTAGTTATTATGTATTTCAAGTGGTGCATGCTTCCAGGTTTAATTAAAATGTTAATTTAAACATTTAATAAAGACTTACTTGTTTTTCATATAAGAATAGCACTGCATACACAAGAATATACAAGAACAAAAAGGCAAATATTTTAAACAATGTTTTGTTGCGTAATCTTCCTCTTGTGACTGTATAGCCCTTAGCAATGAAAATCAGCAAAGCAAGCAAAAACAATGTACTGAGAGCTTCAATCACTTTTCCTAAAAAATGAAGAGAAGAAAATTTTTATAGTGATACTAATGGTTACCTTTTTTTATCGTGCTCGTGCTACTGAAACATAATTTCATTAACAATTATTTTACATATTGGGTTATCCTGAAAATTCATGCCGATTTTAAATAGGTGGCATAAATGGCTAAATTCGAATATATCAGAATAGTTGAAATCAAAAGATATGAATGCGCACAAAGGACAGAATTTGAAAAAGTTTGGACGAATCGAAGATAGCTATTGGATACAAAACTCGAGGTATCTACCTTACGGAAAAACGAGATCTCATATGTCTTTGACAACTCGATAAAAATTGTTAGAGCTTGTTTGAATTGTTCAAGACCTTAAAATAAACACTCCATAAGGCGAGTCAACAAAAAAGGTAGCGATTTAAATTAAATAAGCAACCGTACACTTTTTCCCATCGTGTTTTATTTATTTTTTTCGAAAATCTTTAAATGATAAGAATACATTAATGTAAAAAAAAACTCTGGAAAACAGAATTTTCATTAAAATGTCCAATGTCACCATTCAAAATTTTGATCTTTCAGAATTCATCAATTTGTGAAGGAAGGATTCATGTGAAGGGAGAATTCTTTAGCAATTCACATGTGTTTAAATTGTAATGTATACGTATTAAATGTATTAAGCCTCCCCAAATATTTTAAATTATGTTTTTTTAAAGTCAGTATATTATAACTAAATTTTATGACATATTTATATTAGTTTTATTGTTGAATTAACTTTTTATAGCGTAGATTATTTCTTATATGATTTTGTGAAATATATATAGATAATTTAATGCAAGTTAAGAAAAAAAAGGTTTAAGTGAAAAGGATCAATCGACATCGGTCACTGACTCATTAGGTTCGAGAAAAAAGTAGCTACTTAACTGTTTGGAGTCTACCGGCTACTGGCTACTAGCTGAAAATCTAGATTTTCTGGTCTAGAATGATCTATTCATTTATTCCATCCTCTTTATTCACCAGACTTTCTTCCTTGCATTTTTTTACTATTTCGATCATCTTTTAAATTTAACTATTCCTCGACGTTTACGGGGGAAAAAAATTAGTACTACGATATGATTAAAATCCCGTGTATAAAATACACGCCAATAAACCTGAAAAGTCCAGAGAGGGAAGAATTTTTAAGTTTATAGGAGGGGGAAAAATTATGGTACAAAATGGCATTTGTATGCCATTTTGTTCACATTTTTTTACTACTTCGATCATCTTTTAAATTTAACTATTCCTCGACGTTTACGGGGGGGGGGGAAATTAGTACTACGATATGATTAAAATCCCGTGTATAAAATGCATGCCAATAAACCTGAAAAGTCCAGAGAGGGAAGAATTTTCAAGTTTATAGGAGGGGGAAAAATTGTGGTACAAAATGGCATTTGCTTGATTTCAATGTGCTGTCTTTCAATTTCCTTTCAGAATTGGCATGAAATTTATTGACGACACAAAATGTAGCTAGTGCAGCTTCCTTATCCAGAAAATTCCTCATCAATATCCTCCCCAATTAAGATAGAATTTTTCCGGCTTATAAAAGTCTAAATAAATAGGCATAAAATATATCTTACTATATTTAAATAAAATTATTTATAAATACGAAATTTCAAATCTCATGTAAAATATTTAAAGGAAATCAGAAAATTATGGATTAATTATTTATAAATAATATTTTTGCTTAAGGTGCAGAAATTGTTTATTGTCTCTTCGGTAGTTACAAAATAAAAAAAGTAGGGCTATTTATTATTAATCTGTTAGTTAATATGAGTATTATTGGATAAAAATAAAACACCAAACATAATAATCAAGCAATAATAATCAGGGCCCGACTTAGCCTAATTGGGGCCCGGGGCAAAAACTTCTTTGGGGGGAGGGGCTCTTTTTCACTACTTCAGTAATGAGGAATTGAACTTTATGGAGGTATTTAAATTCTTCACCTCATTATAAATATATAACAAGAAAATTGACTTGAACCTAAAATAGTTATAATGTCCCCCCTCCCTCCAATGGTCAGGCGAATTATCGTTTTGTCCATTTTAATGATGTTCCGACAATTCTATGTCAATCATGCCGAATGCAGGTTTCTGATTGTTAACTTTGTCATCTAGCTGCGAAAGATACATATGCTTGCTGACATTAGGGCGGAATTCAGCTAAAATTTCGCAATTGCACGGCTCACTTAAGCCAATCAAAAGCCTGTATTTTTGTAAACACATCGCATTTTGCTACATGTAAAAATACAGGCTTCTAATTAGCCACATTTGTCCATTGTAATTGCGAAAATTTAGCTGAATTCCGCAATAGAAAGCCATGGATTTACGAAACATATATTTTTGTGTTCATACGATATATTACTGAAGAAGCTAACATAAAACTGACGGATTTTACACTGTACTGATATTTTGTTTAAAAAAAAGTTCATTAATGCAGGAAACCTAAAATAAGCTTTCAATTCGATTTCCCCCCCCCCCTCTGACGTGGGGCTTGGGGCAACTGCCCCATATGCCCTTGCCTTTATCAGACTCTGATAATAATCTTTGGTTATTATTTTTAATGGCCTGATTAATCAAGGGATGTGAGTGCCATTACCCGGTATAACTTAGAGTAATATTTTCTTTCTTTTAAGGTTAAGTGTCACTGCTCGGTATACCCTACACTAATGTGTTTTTAAGGTGAAGTTCTACTGCCTGGTATACCTACACTGATGTTCTTAAGGTAAAGTGTCTTTGCTCCCGATATTCCTTATACTAACCGTTGAGATGAACGGTTGCCTTTGTGGTTCTGAATTCGCACACCACGATTTGGCAATTTTTTACGGCCCCCTTTTACGGAATAGTTTCAAAAAAATTATGTCATGAAAATTATACATAGCTTTTATTATTGAGTACAATCATTATCTGGAGTATTGTTAAATTTTGTTTGGGTAACAGAAATATGAGTAATGCAAAAATAATATAAATTGACTAATTTATTGATTAATGTAAAAATAACGGCTAAATTGAAAAAAATATCGTGATATATTGTTATATGTCCATATTTTCAATGTCACCGGCTCCCGATAATACGTGTAGGTGTAGCATGTGTAGGTGTAATACGTGTAGATGTAGCATCAATATTGTGATCAGTGTTTATAATTATCGTATACGATAATTTTGTGGTCATTATTGATCAAAAATACAATATCATGAATATTATACATAGCGAATGTTATTGAATACGAGAGTTCGTGAGTGTTGTTAAATTTTGTTTGGGTAACGAAGATATTGACCAATGCGAAAATAATATAAATTAGCTAAATTTTAAAAAGATTGCGATTTATTTTTAATTGCCTATATTTTTGACATAATGATATTGAAATTAGTACTTATCAGTCAAAGAGAGGCCAATTTTTGTGTGGGTGACAACTTGAAAAAAACATTCGCCAACACATGGTCCCTAAGTAAAAGCCAAAGGCGATCATACAGGGGATAGATGCTTTAAACGTATACATAAATTATATATTTGAGTATTCAAATTTAAGTTTTATATCAGTTAAGGCTCAACTGCTGGGTCTCAATATTAAGAAAACTAGCAACACAGTCTCCCGCCTTGACATTAAAAAGGTTAGAGAAAACTAATTGCAAATAAAATTCCATTTTAATTACCAATTAAATGTGCCGTGTTGTATAAATGTAAGGACTAAAGAAAGGGACTTTTAATGTAACTACTCAATTACTAGATTATGATTTTTACCCTTCTTCAACAGCGCCATTAAGCTAATGACAAGTTTTTGTTTAAAATACTAACATATCAGTATTCAGGAGACATAATCTTTTTTTTAAACAAATTCACTACTACACCCATTTTCGTCAAATCTGAAAAATACTCGAAAAAAACCTAAAATTTGTAAATGCGTACATATAAGAGGCAAAAATTAACGCCATCAGCCTCACTTATATACTTATACTTTGTGTTGATATTCGACTATACGATTTTAAATCTCGAGATACTCGGAATTCTACATACTTAAAAAGGCAGACCAACTGGTCTCCGGAGGCGGATAGTTCGTTGTTCTAGTTTTATTTGGAAACAGAAGTAGTCATATCAAGAGTCGACACTATTTTTAAAAAATGGTTAAAGTGACAATCTATAAAGTTTACCCAAGAGTTTGAGTTCCATTTCAGCATATCCTTCCTTGGCATGATTCGCATAATAGGCACACATAAATGATAAACCACAACATTCCAGAATCACTGAAGTAAGGTAGAGAGCGTAAGTGCGATGAAACAAATGTCTGGATCGAAGAGCATCTGCAAATCAATGAAAAGTTCTTCAAATTTAAATGTTACAACAGTATCGTGATTAGGTGATCAAAAAGTAAGGAACTTGGCGCTAAGAACTTGGGGAAACTCCCACGAGACTTAAAAATTCAACCTAAACTCATACTCGAACTGTGTATATGCGAGGTAAAGAGAAAAACAATTGAAGGCATACGTTACTCTGATAGAAATTATTGAGCGCTTTTTACAATAATATCGTTCTAATTTCATGCAACCTTAATATAGCTAGAGAATTAAAAATTAACTAATTATTAATTATAGTACCCATTAAACTTGATTATATGTTATAAGGCTCAACTTGAACGGAACGAAAACATAGTTTACACCTTATTATGATTGCAATAAATTTGCAAACCATTATGTTTTAAAATTATTATGCTATTAATGGTTTAACTTGAACGGAACAGAAACATGGCTGAACTGAGCACCCTATTGCAGCAAATTCACGCATTATGGCTTCAAGTATTGATATCATTGTTCAACTTTTAACCTATTTTTCTGAGAGTGTAGTGGTATTAGCTTGCATAATTTATTTTGATTTAATGTGTTATAGTTGCCAGCTACAAAACTACAATCAATAATAAACTTAAAATTAGATAAGCTTAAACTTATGATAAAATTATAAAGTTATCACACCTTCCACGATTACATTTTACACTCTACACATTTTTAGAATCCTTTTAGAGACGGAAATGAAATAACTTTTGCCACTTAAATTAATATTTAAATGAAGGGGAAAAAATGCTTTCAACACTTATCGCTCATTATTGAGGTTGAAAAAAGAAAGTAAGGGATTAAAATCATCAAAACACCAGATTGTCCAATGAGGGTGAGAAAACACTTTTTAAGCTACATTCTCAAACAAAGCGATTTTAGATTAATTTAATTTTTCTTTTGCTCCTACTGATATCAGCAGCGTTTGGGCAAAACATGAAAACGTTTTTGCACAGATTTTTCCTTCACTTTTCGAGGATTTTAATTATTATGTATGTACACGTTTTTTCGAATTATTGGATAAACTTAACTCTTAGACTAAAAGACGATTCTTAAGGCCTGGTTTCTTAAGACAAGAGCCTTATCTGGGAGTCAGCGGGCTGTTGACGTACCGGTACCCAAAGAGAACCATCACTCTAAAGTAAACACATTTTTAAACTAAATGTTAGAATTTATTGCCATAAGAATATCTTACCAGCTTCAATAAACGACAAGACAAGTAAAGCAATGTAGAGTACCAAAAAACAAATGTCGATCTGCAATATGTCTAAAAATATACAAAACAATTAATATTTAGTTATAAGATTATATTGCATACCTTAGAGTTTAAAATTCATGAAATAACCTAATAAACATAGAATGTTAGGAATAACTCTATAAACATGAAATCGATTTTTTTTCTCTGCAGTCTTAACAATATTCAATTGAAGTCATTTCAGAATTGAAACCATACTTAGAAGACAATAATGTATTTACAATAGACGAAGACAATAGATAAAAATAGGCATAGATAGAGAAGATAATATAACAAAAAAAAAATATACTTACAAAACTCATCTGCTGAAAAATGCTTAAACCATAAGCTGTGTTGATCATTTGTCATAGTAATTTTGTACTCCAGATACAAACCCTATAAATGTACAAAAACTGCAATTATCTATTTTTTGTTTAAACTAAAAACATAATTATGTTTAATAAAGAATACGTAATTAAATAAGGGGTAAGATTTAAAATAAAAAAAAATAAAAAAAACTTCAAACATTTTGATTCAATATCAGAAACGTTAAAAGCGGGGAACTATTGTCCAGCAGATTTTGTAATATACCTCTCACCTGAACAACCAGTCCCCACTACTTTCTTTCTTTTTTCTTTTTTTGCATCTTCAATTATTTGCTACCTAGTTTTACATTTTTAAAAGATGCCATATAAACATGAATAACTACTTAAAACTTTTTAATATTTTTTCCGACTTACGGCTCTTCAATTAGGACACTATTCCTCTTATTTTATCTAAAAATTGTTTTGCTTTCTTACTTACCAAACGTCATGAAAATATTTCATCAACAGGAAAGACGACAGCCAAAATAGAAATTTTAAAATATTTATTTTAAAAGAATTTTCCCTTCACTATTATTATTATTTAGTTTTTATTACTATTACGTTTAAATTACTATAATTATTATTTAAAAAGAAACCAATGATATTACCATCGAAACTATTTAGTTTCAACCTAAGTATGTATAATTATGAAGAAACAAAATTGGAAGAATATAAAACTCTATTATCTTGGTTAAAATTATACAGCACCTACAAAAGAATTCTCCACACTCCTTCACATATGCAAGATCAAATATCTGTGCATACCACTATTCAAAATACGCAGAGTATTCCGTAATCAGCACCCTTAAAAATATTGTTGGAATCCTTATCAAAAATTAAGTAAAAAAAATATGTACATTTGGGGGTCACAAATTAATACTTAAACGAGGAAAAAACAAAATCGCGAAATCCTACGACTCAACAGTTAAGAAGCAGGAAAGCCAGTTTGAAAAGATCAGAAACTGTCTCCTTTCAGGTGGAAACAAAATTGAAAGTCACCAGGCGATCACCTCCATGTTTCACCAGGCAATCAAACCGGTTTTAATATTTTTTCATTCCACCTGCCTCACTAATAATTCGAGATATTTCTTCAATCTCGTTTTCTCTTTTATATATATATATATATATATATATTCACTNATAAAACAAAGAAAGTGTATGGGAAAGCGTAAAGATTCTCTTCAGGACACATTTCTTTAAATAGTGATAATTCGAAATAAAGAATAATTATCCTAAGATAAAAAAAATTACTCTTTATAATGTGTCTATATCACTAAAAAATGAAAATGCAATTGAAAATGAGTTTGAGATGAAAGAAAAAAAAAACACGAAACAAATTTACCGATATGGGAAAATAAAATAAAAATGCCTTAAAAATAGATATATTAATCTAACAGTTAACACAAATTTGCTAAGAAGAAGAATATATATATATATATATATGTTCAAAATGAAGAAAAAAACAAAGAAAAATAATAGACAAATTAAAAAAAAAGGGGGGGAATAATAAGTAAAAAAATAACAAACAGTTTTAAAAAAAAAGAAAAAAAAGGGTGAAATTTTATTAAAAAATAACCGTGTGGGCTGAAGAAAAGATTATATCTTTTTTTTTCCCGGTTTTTTTAAATAAAATTTCATCC